GGTTTCTTTTCAACATGATCTAGGTACTAAATACCTATTAGAAATTTAGAGGTAAGAGGTCTGAAATCTCTATGTAAAATTAGCGTAAAACTCGTTACTGTGGTTTTGAGTAACCAAAATTGGTTTTGGGGTAACCAAACAGCCTGCTAACGGCGGGCGTTCTCATGTCCAGATCTGCTCGCCGTTCATTGGCCATTACGAAAAGTTTCCGTTCTTTCGTCATCGAGGAAGAGGCGAATGACCAATCATGGATTTTTTTCAGCCCAAATTGACGCGTTTCAAGCAGCAAATTACGGAGGAAACGTTTCGCTACGACGCAGACACATTGAAGCTTAAGGAAAAACTTGACTTGGTATTCTTGTCAATATATGTGTTCATGCTTCTTTATTTTTCATATTTTCATGAAGTTGGCTGGATTTTATGAAAAATCCTAACATTTAATAATCATAGGTGCAGGAGCAAATAAGCGAAAAGCAATATGATATACAATTGTCGAATGATAAGACTGCCACCGTGGAAAAAGAATTGGCCTGGAACATAAAGGTGTGTTTATGAGTAAGGGAAGTGTTTCTCCTAACTGTCTGTTTCTGCAAATACAGTAGACCCCGATAACTCGAACTGTTAGACGAAACGAAAATTCGTTTGATTTAGCGGTCTTACTGTGTAAAACTCCGCGTTTTCACCTCGCGCTCCGGCCAAGCAAAATCCGGCTCCGACTGCTGTTAAAACAGGCTCCGTTAGAAAGTTTATTTGCCGGAATTTTCGAAGGATACCGTTTCTCTGTAACTCGCTTTGACGTCTTTGATGATGAAGAAGATATTGCGGCCTGACTCACCATCGATTTATAGTAAAAAAATAGTCATTCTTGGACTATCTTGTTACCAATGCAACAATGGCGTCATGTTATTTTTAATACATAAAATACTCGATTTTTTGAAGTTTTGCTTTTCATCAACAATAACTTCGTATGTTTGCTGTATTTTTGTTTCGGTTTGAAAAACATCAAAACACCGGCTCAAGCACACAGCGCTAGTTAGTGGGAGTTACCAAAGGCGTTGTTGTATTTCGTATGTTAGGTCAATACTAAAGCTATAGCCGTTTTACTGTTCATTTACAATTCTCAGCTACAACAAAGAAAATAAATTGCCATATTCATGGTTTTTACCAGGCAGATGATCCGAACTTAAATGGTGGTTTTTCGGGAAGAGTTCTTTATCAGTGAATCGCTTAATATTTTTCGCTTTTCGACTGCAGTTTTTGACGTTGAAAATTGATGTTTGAATGTCTGCGTTGCTCTTCAATAACGGCGAAAACTTTAGCGGGAAAATATAAATGCCGGCAGGAGTGTTAAGAAAATTTATTGTTTTGAAAACTGGTTAAATCTAAACTAAAAATAGGTACGACGAACTGTGTACATGGACTTGCACACGAACACGGTTTATAATGATGTTAATTATTATGTGGCAGCGTCACTTCCGATGGAATGTGGCGCTTTGATCAATTTTGAAACATTTTTGGCGTTCCATTTGTCTACATTTTTGATCGCGTATTCCAAAGTAATCCACTTTCGGAAAATGTTTTCGTATAATTTTCAATTCGGTACAGGATTTTCAAACTGTTTACCTTTGAAAATTAACGTCTGCCTGAAATACTTGCTGTATTGCAAAATCTGGCTACTTCTCGTTTATCGTGCATCGAAACTTTCTAAACTTTATCTCTACGTGAATGTTGATCATTGATTCTTCTCAGCAATACGACGAAGAATTAAAATTTTGTCCGACGGAATTGAAGATCAGCGTAATCTGATAGATCGATTGAGATTGGATAATCAAACAGAAATGTCGGGAAAACGAAAGACTCGAGGATGCCAAAGAAAGGTATTTTGAGGAGAAAGTAATTATGAGCATGTTTCATTTTGACTGTTACGGGATTTCATCATGAATTTTACTTCAAATAATCGTGATATTTTCATTTTTTATGTTACCTCAATTATGTAAAGATTAAAATCAACAGAAGTAGAGTTGAAGCGTGAAGAAGAATCTTTAAAATCATTTTACGTAATGGGTGTGAGCGTGTTCTGAAACACAAGACTATAATAGAGGTAATGTTTTTTCACCTCTATTTATCATAAAAGATATTTGCCGTGTTTGAACCTGCTCGAGAGTTTTACAAACGTCTCTGTGGTTTGCATAAACCTGTGTAAACACGGAAAAATTCTTTTCTTTTATAAAATAACAATAATGCCAAACAAAATTTCAGGAAATGTCTTAACCCCACCCCTCCCCTCATTAATGTATTCATGATCGATTTGCAACATTCTCTTTAATTGATTTAATTGATTGATCACAGATTGGTTTGCACAGACTAATGAAAACTTAATCTGCTCAACTGAAACTTAAAATCTTCAACTTAATAGCGAGCTTTAGCAAGAGTACGACTACGTGTACGAAGTTTGACCGTGTAAGGGAATGGCACGAGGAAGTTCGTCGTCGTTGTCGCGTCGTCAAATGGTTGTTTTAGCCGTAAACAACAGAACGAGCTTTTTCCTGTGAAAAACACCGCATTTTGAGAAGCAGCTACGGCTCTATTTGTTAATAATAATATCGATGAATTCGTAATACTGATTTAGCGTGGGTATAGGACTGTTTAGAGAGAAAAATCTTCATTATTCTACCTTTTATAGATTGTATATTTGCATTACTTTATTGTCTTTTTATAATTCACTTTGCGTCCCAGATACATGGAAGTTTTGCAGGTCGTATTTTCGTTTTTATTGTAAACCTGCGTTCATAAAAAGATACTGAAATAAAGCTTGGAAGGTCAAAAAAAGTATTGTAAACTAAGTTCTTGCACAATAAATAAATATACCTACTTTCGTTTCTTTAAAAGACATCATAGATATCGTACTCAGATTGATGACGGCTACGAGTTGTTGATGTCACAATGTTTTCGCGCCAAAATGACGTAATTCGTACTCTTTGCTGAAGCTCCTAATGAAACTTAAGAAACCAATCGACGCATGCGTTGTATTTTGTTGTGTTGTAATGAATTAAAAAACTCGTGGTTTTATTGAAATGCCAAATCGTAAAAGAGCTTGCTTTCCTCGCATAGAATCGTGTTAAAGAAGTTCAAAAGAACACGAAGGAATGGTCTGTGAAAATGAGGAGTGCTATTCCCGAGGTTTCCTGCGTTCTTTCCAATGAAGAAATCGACAGGATTGTAGAAGATAGCCATGAAGATTAAGATAGCCATTTATTTCTTCATGGCTATCTAAATGAATAATAAATGAATCCACAATGAGCGACTTTATACGGCGACACTTACAAAACCAAACCCACGATTAGTCAGGGCGATCGTCTTTCTAATACTAGCAAGGTTGTCAGGCATATCGCGTCCGAAAACATCTTTGGAGCTAGCAGGTTTCCTTTATGGGATTTAAAATGTTTGTACCATAACGTATATTAGCAGTATAGTACGTTGTTAACATAACTATTTGTTTTGTTGGCTTACTATCTCTTGGTGCTACAGGAACTTCTATTTGTGAATACTGTGGGAGTTATGTGCTTTTTCATTTGAATTTTAGCAGAAAATCAAGTCAATATGGACGTGAATCGTACATGCAGATAAAAGACTCCAGACCGCTTAGTGATAAATGTGAGATTATGCTTTATCTTCAATTTTACAAACAGCAATTTTCATCAGTTAAGTTACTTGTATTGCCATTTATCTTTCAGCTTATCAGCATCAAGAAATACAAGACATATTGCTGGTATTTGCTAAAATGTCGGCATTATGGTGAAAGTAGTTTTTTGAATTGTTTTTGTCTGTTCAGTTTCTTTCGGTCAACGATTACCAGCATCCAATCTCCATGAAGAAAATGACGATTCCAACGAGCAAAGAGTTCCTGAAAGTATTTTCCGTTAGTATGTTGATCTCTGTTGAATCAATTCACGTTGGTGACCAGTGTGTATTAGTTGAGAAAATATATTCAAATTTTTTCTGGAAAAACATACATCCTGTCTCACAATCAAATTGATACTAGTATTTATATGCAGCTTCTGGGCATCCAATCGAAACAAATACAGCATTAATATGATGCAGCATTGATATAAAACATCATATTGCTATCATATGACAAATATTCCAATTTGCATTCTAGTAATCAATGTATAACATAATTCACACAATGTTTGTGACCTACCGAGCCTGAAATCTCTATGAACTTTGCAATTTACTTTGCAGTTGTATTTTACAGTTCCTTTATAGCCATATCAGTCCAACGGACACATAAAAACTAAAGAAAACCAGAAGAGGAAAACCGAAAGAGTCTTGGTTCTTCAAGATTCTTGGTTACCCCTAATGACCATTCATAAAACATCATTATCCAATGTTGGCTCACCTCACACATGGCCAGTGCTCCTTGGTGCACTTCACTGGCTTATGGAACTTGTCAAGGTTGAATTTTGTACAAACTGAAATTGAAGATTGATGAGTTTGCCCAAACATTTTAAAGCGTGATTTTCTTTTTTTTCAGTTGGCTCAAAATGTTAATGACACCATCGACGAATGTCTGTTTCCCATGAATGATGAGGACAAGGTAAGTTCTTATCTCTATCAAAATGTCTTTGCAGTCTGAATGCCATAACATGTGATAACATGTGTTTCAAATGTACCTAGTTTAATATGGCTGTGACAGTCATAGATATATGGGATGTTTATGCTTGATTTTCCAATGAATTGTATTAATATACCAAACAATTAAGCGAAATGTAAATGTCTGACATGATAGGGCAAAACCTGCAAAGTATCTTCAGAAAATCTAATCTAAACCAAAGCAACCAAATCTAAATCTTTATCCATCTCTGTATGCCAGCATGTTTCTCACTGTTAATGTCTTGTCACTATGTACACCTTTGTCTTGTTACCGCAGTTGTATTTTGATTACCTTGAGAAAGCGTACGAAGCGTTTATTTACGGTCAAGACTTGATAACAGATGAGTACACAGAAGCACTATATGAAAACTGAATCTGCATCAATTCCTGTAACCTTTGGTAGTGACCTACAAGATTTATGCATGTAGTTTTATTAATGTAGTAAACTACGTGTACGAAGTTTGATTGTGTAAATGTGTATGTGCACGAGTAAGTTCGTGTCATTGTCACGTCGTAAATGGTTGTTTTATTCCGAAAACGAAGACTGAGAACGAACAAGCTACTGGAGGAAAACTGGCGAGATTTTGAGAGGAAAGATATTGTGCTGAAATTTGAGAACTTCAAATTAATATCGATGAATGTCGCAAAATAATCGCAAACGGTGGGTACTTTTACGTACATGTGTGAACATTTTGGAAAATCGCTCATTAAATTGTTCAGAGCCAAAACTTTGGCCACTGGTGAAGCTCCATCACTGTGAAAATTACTGTGACATAATTTATGACATAATTTGGCTCGATCCTAGGAATGGCTCGGTTTTCCGATTTTCATTCAGATTATTTGGCCAAAACTCGTACTGTGATTTTTCTGCACGGAGCTTCATTTGTGCAAAATTAATTTAAAGGATTTTCCACAATATATTCTATACACTTTCATCCCTTTAAAGGTGCATCTTGTTAAAGTGAGCTCGTGTTTGAAATTTGTCATTCATCCTTTTGGTTGGGGTGGGTGTTTTCGCTTCCAAAATTATAATTTGTACTCTTTGCTGAATCCCTTTGAAACTTACCCTCCAATTTACGCATCGTTGTATTTTGTTGTGTTGTAATGTCTTAAAAATCGTGGTTTTATTGAAATGCCAAATCGTAAAAGAGCTTGCTTTCCTCGCATAGAATCGTGTTAAAGAAGTTCAAAAGAACACGAAGGAATGGTCTGTGAAAATGAGGAGTGCTATTCCCGAGGTTTCCTGCGTTCTTTCCAATGAAGAAATCGACAGGATTGTAGAAGATAGCCATGAAGATTAAGATAGCCATTTATTTCTTAATCTTCATGGCTATCTAAATGAATAATAAATGAATCCACAATGAGCGACTTTATACGGCGACACTTACAAAACCAAACCCACGATTAGTCAGGGCGATCGTCTTTCTAATACTGGTGCAAGGTTGTCAGGCATATCGCGTCCGAAAACATCTTTTGGAGCTAGCAGGTTTCCTTTATGGGATTTAAAATGTTTGTACCATAACGTATATTAGCAGTATAGTACGTTGTTAACATAACTATTTGTTTTGTTGGCTTACTATCTCTTGGTGCTACAGGAACTTCTACTTGTGAATACTGTGGGAGTTATGTGTGCTTTTTTCATTTGAATTTTAGCAGAAAATCAAGTCAATATGGACGTGAATCGTACATGCAGATAAAAGACTCCAGACCGCTTAGTGATAAATGTGAGATTATGCTTTATCTTCAATTTAACAAACAGCAATTTTCATCAGTTAAGTTACTTGTATTGCCATTTATCTTTCAGCTTATCAGCATCAAGAAATACAAGACATATTGCAGGTATTTGCTAAAATGTCGGCATTATGGTAAAAGTAGTTTTTTTGAATTGTTTTTGTCTGTTCAGTTTCTTTCGGTCAACGATTACCAGCATCCAATCTCCATGAAGAAAATGACGATTCCAACGAGCAAAGAGTTCCTGAAAGTATTTTCCGTTAGTATGTTGATCTCTGTTGAATCAATTCACGTTGGTGACCAGTGTGTGTATTAGTTGAGAAAATATATTCAAATTTTTTCTGGAAAAACATACATCCTGTCTCACAATCAAATTGATACTAGTATTTATATGCAGCTTCTGGCATCCAATCGAAACAAATACAGCATTAATATGATGCAGCATTGATATAAAACATCATATTGCTATCATATGACAAATATTCCAATTTGCATTCTAGTAATCAATGTATAACATAATTCACACAATGTTTGTGACCTACCGAGCCTGAAATCTCTATGAACTTTGCAATTTACTTTGCAGTTGTATTTTACAGTTCCTTTATAGCCATATCAGTCCAACGGACACATAAAACTAAAAGAAAACCAGAAGAGGAAGTACCGAAAATCTTCAAGAGTCTTGTTACCCCTTCACACATTCATAAAACATCATTATCCAATGTTGGCTCACTCACACATGGCCAGTGCTCCTTGGTGCACTTCACTGGCTTATGGAACTTGTCAAGGTTGAATTTTGTACAAACTGAAATTGAAGATTGATGAGTTTGCCCAAACATTTTAAAGCGTGATTTCTTTTTTTTTTTCAGTTGGCTCAAAATGTTAATGACACCATCGACGAATGTCTGTTTCCATGAATGATGAGGACAAGGTAAGTTCTTATCTCTATAATGTCTTTGCAGTCTGAATGCCATAACATGTGATAACATGTGTTTCAAATGTACCTAGTTTAATATGGCTGTGACAGTCATAGATATATGGGATGTTTATGCTTGATTTTCCAATGAATTGTATTAATATACCAAACAATTAAGCGAAATGTAAATGTCTGACATGATAGGGCAAAACCTGCAAAGTATCTTCAGAAAATCTAATCTAAACCAAAGCAACCACTACTAAATCATTCCAGATCCATCTCTGTATTCAGCAGATGTTTCTGCCACTGTTAATGTCTCACTATGTACACCTTTGTCTTGTTACCGCAGTTGTATTTTGATTACCTTGAGAAAGCGTACGAAGCGTTTATTTACGGTCAAGACTTAGATAATCTGGATGAGTACACAGAAGCACTATATGAAGAACTGAGTGAGTGAAGTTGTCATTGCATCAATTCCTGTAACCTTTGGTAGTGACCTACAAGATTTATGCATGTATCTGTTTCTATTAATGTAGGAAACAAGAATGCTCCACTTATTGCTGGTAAATGTGTATTGTTGAAAAATTATGTGCATCGTCACTTTGTAATGTACAATTTTATGATTTTCATATTCCAGAAAACGAAGAGCTGAGTCACGAAAACAAGCTACTGGAGGAAGAACTGGCGAGACTTGAAAGTGAACCGGTAGGAAAGATATTGTGTCGTGAAATTTTGAGAACTTCAAATTGCTTATTTCTAAATGTGAGTGTGAGCAAAATAATCGCAAACGGTTGGGTACTTTACGTACATGTGTGAACATTTTGGAAAATCGCTCATATAAATTGTTCAGAGCCAAAACTTTGGCCACTGGTGAAGCTCCATCACTGTGAAAATTACTGTGACATAATTTATGACATAATTTGCCTCGATCCTAGGAATGGCTCGGTTTTCCGATTTTCATTCAGATTATTTGGCCAAAACTCGTACTGTGATTTTTCTTGCACGGAGCTTCATTTGTGCAATTAATTTAAAGGATTTTCCACAAATGTTCCCATACACGTTCATCCCTTTAAAGGTGCATCTTGTTAAAGTGAGCTACGTGTTTGAAATTTGTCATTCATCCTTTTGGTAGGGTGGGTCGCTTCCACTTTTATAAATACATACTTTTGTATTTCATATTTCTTTGAAATTACCCTCCTTTTGCCTCCGTTTTATCTCCATCTTTTCACAGTTGATAGATGTGTAGCTAACAGTCTTAAGGTATCAGGTATCAGATTAAAGATCTTGCTATGAGGAATCAATATGACTATTGTTTAAACGATTCTTAATGACATAATTTAAACAGGTCATGAATACAATGACATTTGCTTTGTGCGATGTACATTTAAAGATTCGACAGATTCAACATAGGTACATCAATTGCAGTCTAAGAGAACTGTCGGCAATGTAAAGTCCTATCAAAATGTTATTTAGAAAATAGTAGCCACTGACGAGCAGTGGATTACATGCGCAACAGGAAGCCGACTACACAGTATTTCTACACATGTATGCAAAGTTTTTTTTTGAATTGACACAAGTACTCGAAGCGCTCATTAACAGTCGTCAATTTACGATACTTTATCGGTAAAAAAGGGGTTTATGCAGTGAAAAAAATTCAATAAACAAAGGATGATCATAATATGAATTATTTTTTAAATTTTTCTTTCTTGAAGGGAGCATTTTGTCTTTCTCCTTAGATAACTAGTTGTTATTTTTGGATTATTTATAAGCATTGATAATAAGTATATAGCATGAGTATACCAACCTTCATTTAGCACGGAGCAATCTGCAACAATGAAAAGAAAGTTCACACTCAAACTTATAATATACCTGCAATTTATAATTCATTGGATATTGACTGCCTTAAACAACCATAAATATCCATGTACTAAAAACATAAGCACCAAGAAGGATAGAATACCAAGAAAAATAGAATTATATGAATATTTCATATTAACATATAAATGTGAGGGTCATGTCTAACTTTAAAATCCTTACAGTTAATCATAAGCTTTGCACTAACGTTAACAGCCTGAGGGGCTGGGACAGCTGAAGCCCCCCCCCCCTTTTTTTGCAAAAAATATATTTAGACTGAGCTGAAGTCATTGTTTAGAGGAATTTTTTAAGACGCCATAGTAGAATTAAAGACTTAGCCCTGCACTTCATAATGTTGCTTCGCCGTCCCTGCAAACACTTACTCCTTGTTCATCTCCATATCAATATTAGAATATATTCTAAAAACATCCTGGTTAAAAATAACCAGGATGGGGTTAAATTTTAACCAGGAAAGTATTCCAAATGGGACCGACGCAATCCTGGTTATTTTAACAAGGAATCGGGGTTAAATTAATTAACCCTTATTCTGGTTAAATTCAACCACGAACTAATGTTAAAATTTTGACACTTGTCCCGGTTAAAATTAACTAGTTGCCTTGTTAAATTCCTGGGTGATTCTTAGTGATTCATTGAGAGAGTATATTTATGCTCAAAAAGTAAATTTATTTAAGTAAAAACATTGCACGGACACAACTTACATTTAGTAAAAACTAAAAACAGAAGATAGACAAGTATCATGTATATTAACAACAGGTACATGCAATAGCTGGAGAAGCTTAAATTTATATCAATATATTTTAACGTCAATGGTCTGATTACTTTAACGTTGCTCTCATTGCAACAACAGCAGGTTTAGTCTTCTGTTTTCCATGGTCCTCAATGCCATACAAAACCTTTTCTATAAACTCCCACGACGAACAATTCTGCCATAGGTAATTAACATCAAGTACGTAAAATAGTTTAAAGCAAACATCAATTGCCCTCAAAAGATTAGGCTGCTCCAAGCCCTGGCTTTCGATTATAACGAACACTTGCGTTGGGCTGCATCGACTACCAATTGCTAAAACAAACGGCCATCTTGAGGCTGTTTCTAAATATTTAGGTGTGTTTGTACCGACCTAAAAATAATTAAACAGTAGACTTGAGACTTTTACATCAAATACACGAGTTTGATTATGCGACTACTTATACGCAGAGCTAGTACCGAAATTTTTGAAAATGGTGATGATCTAGCATTTTGTGCAAAACAGTCCATGCATATATTGACTTTCGTCTTTTTTTAAATAATTGATAGTTGTCACTGTTTCATAGGACTTAAGGAAAACTTTCTCGGTAAAAATAATGCTCATGTTTTCAAACATTTTACTGACAACAGCACGAGACAATGCTATAAAGTACCATAAATCAACAATGCATGGTTTTGTTATATCTTTTTTTTGCAATGGCAGCAATCTTGCTTTAATGCGGGGGGGGGACATATTTATGTACTCATACATCAGTCTAATTTGTTTTCAAAAAATTTCTCTTTCAAAAGAAATCAGGATGGAATGACAGAATATAAGTATATGGTCCCCTTTAATTAACAACGGATTGACGCCCGTGCTTTTTTGACAAATTTGTATTAGGTACTGTGAATAAGTTATGAAAAGATTTTTGATGGATACCGGTTGGCAATCGATAAAAGCACATAATGCTTCATCAGTTGTACACCTCTTTTTATTCTTTCTTCCAGTAGGAAAAACGCATGGAAGGAGACAAATCGCAGCATTTCTTTTCTCTTCATCTATAAAATAGTTTATAAATAAAAGTCAGTGTTTTAGGATTTTCAATGAAGAAAGTATTTCATGTATCACATATGTTTCATGCATCATGTAACCGTTTTTGCAATTTTTACCGCAATTCAGGTTTCTTGTTGCAATATTCAAGTATTTTGTCCATTTTTCTGTTTGTGTATCTGCGTAACAAATTATTTTCTCTACTGTTTCTGGTGTAAATCGCAGAAAAAGATTATCCGCGACATCTGGATACAATGTTGCAAAGTCTATTTCAACCTGAATAAATTTTTGAAAACATTTGGTTAGCCGTACAAGATGATGTATAACGAAAGAACGTTTAAGAATTTTCTTTACCATGCCAGGGACATCAAAAGACGAGGGTATTCTTTCATAACCTCTCGTATTGTAAGTTGTGGCGTTTTTCTAATTAGGCCGTATTCTGTGGTCGATTATCGTTCAAGTTCGTATGTAAAAATATATGACTACGTAAAAACTACATGAATTGATTGCTTTTTCCATAACTAACAAGAATTTACCTGTTTACACCTCCAAATCTTGCAATCTAGGGAGTTTTAGCCCTCGAAATTACGAATTGAATCCTATTGTTTTTCCATAGTCCGCCATTCTTTTTTGTGGAAGACCGCTGTATTATTCGCAGGCTCAGATAGAGAAAGAGGCGGCAAAATCGAGGATTTTAAGGCAGTCTTTTTAGTTTTTTTCCGTTTTTTTTTTGCTTGAAGTATTTTATATACATATTGTTTATTAATTTAAAACAGAAAAGAGAAAATATATATTTAGTAAACTACAGTATTTGATCAAAGTGAGTATAGTGACATTTAGGATTTCAATTATTTCTTATGTATTTTAGCAGTGCAAAACTGCGGGAAAGCGGTATCTATCTAAAAATTTGAACATTATAAACAAAAGAGAAAGGCTCAGTTGTTCTGAGTGGATGACCTCAACCCGTGCGCTTACATCATTAAATACTTATATAATATTATAGAGAAGATTACTCGTTACTTGTAAGCGTCCTAGTAAGACCTTTTCTTACTAGCTATTTTCGTTCAAATACAATGCAGATTTATATGACCTTTTAAATGGTCTAATTATATGAGCAAATAATACATAACATTATATTATTATATGACTAATTATACTAAACGTGCGACCTGAATCGACAAATTTGATGTGATGCGCGCATATTCCTCAAGCGATAATCTATAAATCTGTAAATCTATTAATCTTCCTCACTATCGTACTCATCGTCTTTATCATCACAATCATCATCATCATTCTCATCTTCTGACAAATCGTCATCTCCTGCAACAAAATTACAGCAGTCCGCGCAGCCACACAAGTCGGTACATTTAAAGCCAGACTTCAAACATGAGCATCTAAGGGTTTTGCACCCAGTTTTACAATGGCAGGTGACGACCTCAATTAGGGTGTCAGGTGCTGACGGCCGAGTCATCCATAGAACTTTCAATTGGTCGTCTTCGATGAGCCATCCGTTTCCACACGGGGGCTGGAGTCTCATTTTCGGCAGAAGGCATTTGTTCCAAATATATGCTTGATAGTTTGATCTCTCGATGTGCAGCATCAGACTGTCTGTGTTAGGGGGGAGGCAATCGTCAGAACATTTCCCAGACACAAACAAGGCGTACCTACAAATCCAAAAAGATACAAAAAGTGCAGATGTGTGAATAGAATTCGCAACAAGGCCTTACCTTGAATCATTGACGCAAGTTCCCTTTTTGTCGCCATAAAGCAGGCAGACAAATCTATTCAAAGGAGTGGAAACTTCTTCGGAAATCTCAAACGATTGGCCAAGCAACGAGAAAGGCTCTAAAAACTCAGGATTTTCTAAAAGCAATTTCCAAGGCTTTACTTTGCCTTTTCCAGCAAAGGCGCTTGTGGAATCACAGCCTACAAATGAACATGTTATACTTGTTAAATATGTTATGTATTTAATAATAATGAGCAGTGTCATGAATTATTGCCTGTGAATGCATGGAATCCAGGTAAACATTTGCAGAGAGCGTCTCCTAACTCATCAGATACAGCTCCAATGTCTATGGTGCGAGTGTTAGAACCTGTTCCTGTTAGTAAGTATATATCTTTTCCAATAAGCTTTTGCATGGCAATAGATATAACAAGGACATCTGTATCAGGCGTTTTAATGATGATTCTGTCATAGGTTTGAGCTGAGTGCTTGGAATGCAGAAGAAGACGGGTATCTGCCTCTTCATGATCGCTTTCTAACTCTGGGACATTATTGGAGATAATTGGGTTCTCTTTGGATACTGCCAAAGTAAGGCAAATGCACTTATCACGCGACGTTATGTACAAGCATGCAAGGGAGCGCAGGAAAGATGAGGGATAGGTACGCCACTGATTTGCCAAAAAAGCCATGAGAGACTCTTTGTTTTTTCCAGAGCTCATGAACTTTTTCCATTGTTTGGGGATTTTCTGGGCATCATTGAAAATGTGAACTGTCTGTACTCCTGTAATAGGAACAAAATTAATTTTGAAGTTTAAAATATAATAATCTCCTGCGCTAGTATGACAGATACCTTGAACACTGGCTCTGTGAGCTCTCTCCGTATTCTTGATGCTAATTTCGGGATATCGATCACCTACAAAATCCAACCTCGTGGCAGACCATTTCGCAGCAAGATTCGTTAAATAGGTTAAAGTCGAGTCAGCAAACTCACCAAATGTCTTCCATTTTCCCTTGATGACTTGCAAGACTGCCATCGCGTCTACGAGAAGAGCAGTACTTTTTTCTGGAAGGCTTTGAACATCTACAAGAACTGATTTGTCACCCAGCGTCTCCATAACTTCAAACATTTTTGATTTGGCTGTCTTGACAAAGCCGCCTGTTGGAGTTGCAAGGGACAGTGGAAATTCGCTAAGGCTGAAAGATAACAACTCTTTTAAGTCGACATTGCGCGTCGTAGACAAAACCAGTAGTTTGGCAAATAGATTTCGGCTTGACTTCACAGCAAGTTGTTGTCCCTTGCTGTCTTTGACGGTAATTGCTTTGGTTGTAAAAGTTCTGATGTTGTTCTTTTTAATCTTTTTGTATATATCTTTGTCGTCACTAAACAGATTTTCTTTGCAGAAATCATTAAACTGGAAAAGTATTGAATCCTGTCCATGAGGGAAGGCAATCATCTTGATTTGATTTGACCATTCGCACCAAAACGTACGCTAAGATAACAGACGTACGGTTTTCATACGTACGGTTTTCATAAAAAATCATTGAACTAAATATTTAGTTCAATGATTTTTAGTTTCAATGATATTTTAGTTCAATGAGTTATATTTAGTTCAATGTAAAAAATACAGCTAAAAACAAGATGGCGGCAGGAAAAATCAAAGAGCGAGTTTGTCACCTAAAAAGTGCTATTACAGCGTAGATTGCAAGTTTCAAAGGTGTAAACATCTCGAATTTTAATAAGTAAGTTTTATTAAGTATTTCTGTGTTTGCTAAACGTACGGTTTTCATAAAAAATACAGCTAAGAACAAGATGGCGGCAGGAAAAATCAAAGAGCGAGTTTGTCACCTAAAAAGTGCTATTACAGCGTAGATTGCAAGTTTCAAAGGTGTAAACATCTCGAATCTTAATAAGTAAGTTTTATTAAGTATTTCTGTGTGATTTTTATTTAGTCATATATTTTTACATACGAAAATCGTTTTCTAAGCACATTTTCGGGGCACAGAATACGGCCTAAATCCATTCTGATCGATTTAAGACTGGCTCTTTTTAAGAAAAAAAAATCAAATTTTCTACAAGCACCATCAAATAAACTTCTAATATCTTTTTAATTGACGAATTTAACCTGGTAGAGATCTTGCCAAGTGTTTTAAAGAAGTTGAAGTTGAGCCAAATTCTTGTTCAGTCTGACGGTGTTTTATGCTCTTTCTCCTAACATTTCTAAGCCGTTCTTCCAACCACCCTGTAGCAGAATGAATTCCCTTTCCTGGCGTGTACCAAGCTTCCTAAAAATTGAAAAATCACGTACAAGAAAGAAACAAACATTTGTAAAATATATCATTTGATTCCAAATCAAAAGTCAAACGTAATGAGAAACGCGTACATATCCTTGACCCTCTTCGTCTTTAAGGAAAGGAAACTGCTCTATCACTGCCTTTGCCATTTGGATTTTGATGTCTGCATGAGGCCTGTATTTTTGAATTATTTAAATTTTAATATGGATGTTGAACAATTCAGAACTTTTACAGTAGCGTGCATGTGTACTTATGACGTCATTGAAAATGTAATAAATGTCAAATTTCAGATTTTCAATCCCACATTATGATAATTTCATAGAAACATTTTGCTTACTTCCTCTAAAAATTTTACCTTTTTCTAAAAAGTATAAACATTTACATGTTTCTCGAACACGACGCTTCATTGCTAAAATCTCATTTTACTATTGTGTTAATTTGTACAACTCTGATTTTCTATTTTTACGATTTTTTACTGTTACGATGACATCATAGGTAGACTTACATTTTGCAGTAAAAGTGGTGAATTTAGTCTTTCATATTTTCACAAACCTTTCTCCAAACTGATTAATTATGTAAGCCACTAGTATCTGAACCATCTTGATTCTGCTTTTTCTGCTTAACTTATCCGTATCCAGTTCGCAAATCACTTGAGCACCAACTTCGGACTCTTCTAAAATCGATTTGTTATTCTTAAAAAAAAGAAAAAGATAAAAAAGTGTATTTGATGTTCAATTGCTCTACAAGTGTTAATGCTTACAAAATCATTCCTGGGTTTCTTTCTCGGTTGAAAAATTTGAGCCCCACAGCTCTCAAATATAGACTGATTTGATGCTACTGAACGCTCTGTCTCGTTTTCTTTTGGCTGACAAGTGAACTCGGGACTTGAAGATGCCTATATTGGATAAATAAATAGCATCAATAGAATGTTTATATTGTTCAATTTAATTTAGTGTTTAATGTGAATAATTGAGTTGGCTTGAGTTTAAACCATTTTTGTTAACACTTCAAATTATGTTACTCAAAGCAATTTGTTGTTTTGAATCTCGTAAAAGGTGGTAAAAACACCTAAAGCCAATAATATCTAGTGTTTCTTTGTACGTACAAACTTATCAACACTTTGAAAATCGGCATTGAAAAAACAATATGTGAATGAAACTATAAAAAACTGCTTTAGATGCTTGTACTCTGTTTGAAATTACGGTTGCTATGACGTTGCTAGGTAGGCTTTCGTGTACCGAATCAACTGTCCAAAGTCAGAATTAAGATAGCATTGGTATACCTGAAATTTGATTTTTTTCAATAGTTTGATTCGTGGTCCAATAGGAATCCTCATCTCCTTCAAGGTTTCTTCGTTTAAATTGAGAAAGGCCTCCTCGTCAATCATATTTTCTAAAAAAATGCAATTCGAAAAGCATCCGTTTCAAGAACAAAAAGCTAAAAAACAAAAGAATATAGCTAAAGCTAAGTACTAAATCATATAGACACTTCATTTATGTACTAAATACTAAATCATATAGACACTTCAAGTTTTTCTTTAACCCAATTGTCCATAATCTTTTTTTGATGCGGCTGAAACTTTGTAGTTGTACTTGTTTGTACAGTACACTAGAGAAAGAGTAAAAAGGCGGGAAAACTGCAAATCGCAATTTGACAATCGTTACTTATCGTCAAATACCGAAGGGTGCTCGCTCGTGTCATGTGACTGTTCATTGAGCATTATCGTCGATTATTGTTCGGTTGATTATTGTCGTTCGTGGTATTATTCTGTGTGACTTTGTATTTACCTGCTTGTAATTCGAAGCTTCTGGCTTTTCATATTCTTCCAGAGAAGATTTTGGTATTACAGTTATATTCAAGTCTATAATTCTGTGAAATGGTTGGTGATAATCGATGATGTGAACAATGTCATATTTTGATTTGTGGCGACAGTTAGGCAATAATTTTCTCATCAACTGAATTTCGTGGTCCCAATGGCATTCTTTGAATAAGCTATGCTGCTTTTTGTCAGTACAAAGTGTTTGAAGATAATAATTGACGGTGTTATAATCAGTTATAATCATGGAAATTTTTTATTATATGAGTTGAAAGTTTATTTATTTCAGAGGGTTGTTTTCCTAAATTTCAATGTTTGTTGTTAACTGTTCTACTAGCTTCACTGATCTCTATAATGATCAGGTTCTAATGCCCGGTGAAGCTAGTTTCAGGCCAAGTACCTCACAGGTCTCGAATACAAGGGTGGCCGAGGATTGATAATATCTAGTAAGATGGAACAAATATTTATAAATGCCTGTTTTACTGTGTTAGTTTCTATTGAAATCAATTGCCATTAGAGATTACATAACAAAAATATATGAATTTTGGCATCCCAGTTATCAATCCTCCATTGCCCTTACTGTAATTACAGTTTATACTTTATCAAGCATGTAGTGTGACTCTATCATTCAGCTCTTCCTGTGTGACTTGTCTACAAAGATAGTAAATTATTAAAGTTGTTGTGCATTTCAAAACTCATATAAATTGTCATGAATATTTATAGCTCTGAGAGAAAGTGTTGTGCTTTTGGAGATTGTACCTAGCATTAAGACAAACACTACTTACCATGACGACAGTGTATTTTAGAATTGAGATGAAATTATATTTTGTGAAACTATATTTAATATATTATTGTGTTTTATGGTCAAGTGTCTGTCTATTTAACTGTTCTTCTCTTAGCTTCTCAGACCTCTATCAAGACCAGGCTCTTATGGGTAATGTTAGTTTGACGACAATTCTCTTAGGTCTGCCATCACGGTTTATAAAGGCTTAAGCATAGACTCGAAACGATTATTTAGCTCTTGCTGCGTGACAAGTCTCTCAAAATTGTCAATTTTTCAGAGGGTCAATCATTCCAAAATTATTGTTTAGATTTCCATGAATAAATTTATAACTGTCAGGTACAAAATAAAGTGCTTGAGGAGATTGCAACTGGTATTTGGTGCAATAACTTAAAACACTTACAACAATCATAATTGTTCAATAATACACTGATTAGAATTACACTGATTATTTTTAAATATTGTAGCCAACACATGGTTGTTTGCTAACTTTTAAATTTCAACACCAACAAAGCTATATCGTTGATGAATGTAGCTACTAATGTTATTAACTCTGATGGAAACATACTTGTACTTTAGAATTCTCATCAATAGTTTTGATCAGTGGTGTAGCCAGCTTGCAAGTTTTGGTCCTACTATGTAAATTTTAGATCATTAACATTATTCATTTCTTTAGAAATCTTTTGTTTTTACAGTGAGTGAACACAAAAAAATTAACATAGCACGACCAAATTTGAGGGCTGGCTACGCCACTGGTTTTGATCTAAATCTTTATTAGATTAAAATATGACTTTTTCAATAAAACTTTATTGCCTAAGTTCAAAGTGTCGAGCGGTTCTCGTACTTCTCGATCAGCCATTTTTCTTTCCCCATTTCATGAAAGCTTAACAAAGCAGTTGCTCTCAGTCTCAGATGACAGAGTTTTCTTCATTATTTATCTCAGTTGGCCTTCAAACCCCGGAATTCGCACAGGGTTGTTTCGTTTGCTATGATCAAACGATCAAAAGAAGCGTACGTATTCTCAAGTAATTATTTAAGATCAATGGAGTTTGTCCAGACTAGTGCTTCGTTTTTATCACTAGGAGGTTGTCATGAGCTGCATGCAATATACTAGTTGTTTTCCCCACTCCTTAAACTAATGACAGCATTTAAATAGCGTTTTCCAACGATTGGCATCTTCTCAAATTTTCTAAATATGTATATCGACACCCGAAAAAGTTTTTTTTATTTTTTTGTTTCTGTAAAAGCATTAATGGCGCAAATTATAAACAAAGTTTGACTTTTTCGTCCCGAAAATTAGTGAGCCGCAATTTTGATTTTTCTTAACCTGGATCCTGGTAGTACTGTGAACTGCACTACAGTGTTGAACTAAAAATTAACCCGGTTTTAACCAAAATCCGAGTTAACTTAACATATTTGGGGTTGAAATTCATTCAACCAGGATTTTTTAACCAGGATGTTTTTAGAGTGTATGTTAAAAATATATTTGCGTTTCAACCATTTCATAACGTCAAAGGGGATGCTGGAGATAACATTTTTAAAATGGTTAGCTTGTTCATGACAATCTTTGATGCACTAATAAACAAACATATCGCGACAAATCAAACACAGAAAATTTACACTTCGACTGTATAACCGGAATAACTGACTGACTAGGTGGCATTTTTTACACTTAGACATTTTAGAGATTGATAAGCTACATCATTGACGAAAAAGAAATATTTTAATGGTTAACTTACTAGCAAATTGTTCTTCCAGATCTGGAGTGGATTTCCTTTCGATATACCTTATGATTCTGTGCACCAGAAGAGGAAGCTCCGGAAAAACTTGCAGGAAATACTTTTTATAGTTGCCCTCACTTTGCAGCAGTTGTGGATGAGGTTCATCTTGCCAATGCTCGCGAACGTTTTGCAAAAATTTTAAGCAGCCTAACCATGTAGGGTCAAAGTCATTGAAATTGTTAAAAATTTCTCCGTTGATACGGTCCATCCAGTTTTCTGGATCATTTAACTGCTTATGGACATCTGAGTTGAGAGGATCACTTATCTCTATCTCCAGTTGATTCACCACATCACACAACATATCAAAGTTATCTTCAGCAGATTGCAGATATGGATGTTTTAACGCTTTTTTGGCAGATGGTCTGAGTTCGGGTTTATGTTGCAGCATCCATAAAAGAAGATCTTTAAGTACAACATCATCGATTTCCATCAATCCAACAGGGTTTCCATCTAACAAGTTTTTCAGTCTATACTCTAGAGTTCCAAAAGGTTGTTTCCCTTTTGTTGCAACATAATAAGCCACCATTCCTGCATTCTAAAATACATAAAAACATAACAGTGTCAAAAAGATTTCTAAAAAATTTGGAAGTAATTTGCAAATGGTTATATTTTTACACCCACCATTACATCAGACTCTGGTTTGTATCGTGCTTTATCAACTGACTCTTCACTAGGAACGTAAGATTCAGGAGCCATCCAATAGAGAGTTCTCTTAGTAGCATCGCTTACATGTGTCTTAAGGCCGTTTTTCAATATTCGACTAATACCAAAGTCAGCTATCAGATATTGTCCTTGTGCATCTCGAAGAACATTAGATGGTTTTAAATCACGATGAAGAATAGGATTTGGTTCGCTATGAAGATCAGCTAATCCTTTTAAAATTTGCTTGAGAATTTCGGGAAGAGATTTTTGAAGATCCTCCAAAGTAGAAGATTTTACGAAACTCTCCAGCGATTCTTCACATAGGTCAAGTATCAAATAGACATATTCAGTTCCGGTATCTTCTTCTAAGTGGTAATAATTCACAACATAACTCGACTTCTTAGCTTTGATTTCAATCAAAATTTTCATTTCGTTCTCTGCTTCTTTGATACAGTTATCTCGACGTACTCGTTTTACTGCTTTTCCATAACCATCCTTTTTTAGTCCAAGATAAACACGGGTTTCATTATTTCCTTTGCCAATGCAAAACTCGTCCGAGAAAATTACACGTACGTCGTTCACACATGTAACTTTGATATCTGAGTCGTGTCCATACTTAATTAATTTCATGAACATCTCTTTGTGCTTTATTGATTGATCAAAATACTTCCATTCTTTCAACTGCAATTCTAAAAATTATGTAAAAGTATTACATTTAAGGATAAGGGATGAAAATAATGAAACATGTGGAAGTGAGCTGAAAGTAATTCATCACACACAAGATTCGAATACGTGCGAATAACATAATAGTATAGGCTCAGCTTTTTGGTATATCATTCAATACATTAAATGGTAATGTATTCATTTTTTTCAAAAAGGCTAATCTTAATTTCGGACAGTAAAATGTTACTCAAGAGACAGATCGAAAGTTTCTTCGAGTTTGATCGGATATTACTTTCATTCAATGGTATTGTCCACATTCAATCATAATGCCAATATCTGTGATATTATATTGTACATTGGTTAATTATTTGAGATGAAAATAAGAAGCAACTTTATTGTAAGTAAACGCAGGGATATTTGTGATTAAAAGTCTTGTAAACCGTGAAATCTAAAATTTTTTTCAACGGTTCAACAGGTGTACATGCGTTTTCATTTCTCCATCCCAAATTGTTTGAAAATCTTCTTAAAGTAATCGCAGATCAACATTCCCAGTAGAAAATGAACATTGCCATCGTCGATCTTCTTGAACTATATATATAACACCAGACTGTAAACTTTAAGTGAAATTTATTGCGTTTCTGCCAGTTAATATAGCAGCCAAGACATCGTCATCACTGATCGATTCAATGCTGTGATTGTCCCAGTCAAACGCTCTGTAATACCATTATGCTCTGAAGAATAAGAGCTCGTAGGTTATTGCACAAAACCTTTGCAGCACAAAACTAAAGAAACGCCTCTACCCAATATTGAACAAAAATATCACTTCTTAAAGCTTTCATTTTATGATCTTCTGTTTGACTTAAAGCATAGCAAACGAATTCCTTAAACTTGGTTAACTGATGCTAAAGTGTATTGGGATATAGCAATTAGAGTAGAATCATTCATACCAACAGTCGATAATCGAATATACAGGTCTGCATCGGTCAACAGATATGGTCGCCTCGGTTTCTTTTGTTGCAACAGAAATATTTACTAAAGTGTTACCGCAAACATAGGAATGAGGATATTTAGTCGTAAACGTCCATCCTCAATATTCTTTGACGTTACTAAACCTCGCTTTGGGAAGCACAATATTTAATTTCTTTTATCCCTGAAAGCGTGCGCTTACTTATAAAACAATACCACAAAGTATCACTTGCTCTGTAAAAACTTGCTTTGTGCAAATTTCGTGATGAAAGTCCCTTTCACTTTATTTGGCTTTCAGACTTCTTTGACTGCACCATATTTCATCTCATTGAGCATATCTTCCTCTTTGATCATCTTTTACTAATTTGTTGATATAGTGACCCGTTTGATGTCTTTTGTCTGAATTGCCAAAATTCATTATTTTCAATAGTGTATAACATAGTGTATAATATTTCTTACGCTTGTACGGTTTTCAACATCATAAAGAGTCTAAATTTGGCACATTTAGTTAGTCCAGAAGAGCAAAAAGTAAAAACTAATTATGTCTAGTACTACAGGCCTCTCGAAAGCCCGATCTAACGGGAAATTTGCCCCCCCCCCCCGCAAAAAATATAGCCCCCTCTTTGGAAATTTGCCCCCCTCCTTTAAAAACTTTAACTTCTTCAAGAAAATGGTCCAATTTTTTCCAAAACTAAAATCACAGGCAATTTAAGATGCTACAAATTATGCGGATCTATACATTTAATAAGAAACAAATCAGAAAAATTATCGCACTTCAGCAATGCGGGTTATCATGCGTCGGTGAACATGTTAATATTCAAGCGTCGAGTAAAGAGTGAGTATAACTAAAGTAATGACTCATGAAAATCATTCCATAAATTAAAAAGCATAAAGGCTTAAATGACTCAATCACTTCGTAACACAATCTGCAAACGCACAAAAAGTAGTAATTTACGTTATTTAAAGCTTAGAAAAAGTTTAGGGTTTACTAAAATCAAATTTCTACGAGTTTAAAAGTTATTTGATGAAACTTTTTGCAACATTGACAGATTTTTTGTGTTATCTGCATCTGTCCACACTAATGCGTTTTCGAAATTAAAAGTTATTACCGAATTAAAAGTGTATTAAATAATTAACTGCGCATGCTTATACATAAAGCGCCCACAATTTTCGTGACATCTTGCGCCATTAAAGATACCTTCCATGGCGAGCAATTCATAATTTCAGATACAAAGTTATTCAACCACGCGCTTGTTTTCCTGGATAAAAACAAAATCTTCCTGGCCTTCTTTCATATGGCTTATTTATTCGATAGTGGTTGTGTGAGCCACTGGAAAAACCAATGTTCGAAGAGTCAAAATTCTCCTTTTATCAGTTATCAATAAAAGCTAGGGAATCAAAATATTAACTTCCAAAATAGGGATTAAACAAATATACAACCTCAAAAGCACGTCAATCAGGCTCGCCAAATTTGTATTGAATTTAAAAAATGCCAGAAAAAGTAGTCATTGAAGTCATCGTTCTCAAAAGGCTCCGTTTTTTGACTGTCCACATTAAAACAAAACGCGTTATAGCTAGTTGAATTTCGTGTAAAATTATTGCGAATAAAAAGTGCTCAATATTGAAATAGAGTATATATTTACAAGTAAACTAGACACAATTCTACACTAGTTACTGAGAGTTTCATGCCAATGCAATCAAGAAACAAATGATCACAATATTGCGTGAGGTTAATAACTGATCGTCGATATTCATAAACTATTGCTAATTGAGACAATTTTTAAGCATGTGACTTTCAAAATCTTTCGAGAGATGAATTGTTGGAGCCCAGTTTTTGAGAGGTAGTTCAAATTTAGAGTCATTCACAACTTCATCTTTGTTAAAGTAGAAATTTGTTCTCTATCTTATTGTTTTAACAAGGCTTTTCATTTTTTTCTCGGCCGTCTTAAATATATTGGTAATGACAGAGTAAACCGATGTTCTTCAATGAATAGTTGAATTGGATTTTATGCTTTTTTAGATCAAACTTGAACTTTAAATATTGGAGTGCAAAACTGTTGAACAACTGAAAAATGCACGCAACAGCAATTAGTATCATTGTCTCAGCAGAAACAAAAGTGCTCAACGAAAAATTTTGAAAACGACGTCGTAAATCCTTTCCAGAGCTAACTGAAACTCAATTGGAAAAATATTTACATCGACAACCTTATCAACCTTATGAATGAAGAATATCTATAAAAAATTCAAACACATCACAGCAAAGTGACGATGAATCAAAGGAGTGGATTAAAATTAAAGGAAATTAGCTTAAGTCGATCCTTTGATAATAATACAGCATGAATTTGAAATATACATTATTCTGAGCAATGTTCTTAGGAAATGTTCATTATTTATAACCATGTACAGTGCTGATATTGGAACATTCAAAACTTTATCAACAAGATAAACACTTTTTGGAATTTGAGGGTCATACTTTGTCTAGCTTTAAAAATCCTTACAGTTAATCATAAGCTTTGCACTAACGTTAACAGCCTAAGGGGCTGGGAGAGCTGAAGCCCCAACGTTTTGCAAAAAATATATTTAGGCTGAGCTGAAGTCGTTGTTTAGAGGTGCTTTTTAAGACGCCATAGTAAAATTGAAGACTTAGCCCTGCACTTTATGATGTTGCTTCGCCGTCCCTGCAAACACTTACTCCTTGTTTATCTCCATATCAATATTAGTATATTTTAAAAATATATTTGCATTTTAACCATTTCATAACGTCAAAGGGGATGCTTGAGATAAAATTTTTAAAATGGTTAGCTTGTTCATGACAATCTTTGATGCACTAGTAAACAAACATATCGCGACAAATCAAACACAGAAAATTTACACTTCGACTGTATAACCGGAATAACTGACTGACTAGGTTGCATTTTTTACACTTAGACATTTTAGAGATTCAGTAGCTACATCATTGACGAAAAAGAAATATTTTAATGGTTAACTTACTAGCAAATTGTTCTTCCAGATCTGGAGTGGATTTCCTTTCGATATACCTTATGATTATGTGCACGAGAAGAGGAAGCTCCGGCAAAACTTGCAGGAAATACTTTTTATAGTTGCCCTCACTTAATGGCAGTTGTGGATGAGGTTCATCTTGCCACTGCTCGCGAACGTTTTGTAAAAATTTTAAGCAGCCAAACCATGTAGGATCAAAGTCATTGAAATTGTTAAAAATTTCTCCGTCGATACGGTCCATCCAATTTTCTGGATCATTTAACTGCCTATGGACATCTGAGTTGAGAGGATCACTTATCTCTATCTCCAGTTGATTCACCACATCACACAACATATCAAAGTTCTCTTCAGCAGATTGCAGATATGGATGTTTTAACGCTTTTTTGGCAGATGGTCTGAGTTCGGGTGTATGTTGCAGCATCCATGAAAGTAGATCTTTAAGTACAACATCATCGATTTCCATCAATCCAACAGGGCTTCCATCTAGCAAGTTTTTCAGTCTATTCTTTACAGTTCCAAAAGCATGCTTCCCTTTTGTTGCAACATAATAAGCCACCATTCCTGCATTCTAAAATATATAAAAACATAACAGTGTCAACAAAAGATTTCTAAAAATTTGAAAGTAATTTGCAAATGGTTATTTTTACACCCACCATTACATCAGACTCTGGTTTGTATCGTGCTTTATCAACTGACTCTTCATTAACAACGTACGATTCAGGAGCCATCCAATACTGAGTTCCCTTAGTACAATCGCTTACATATGTCTGAAGGGCGTTTTTCAATATTCGACTAATACCGAAGTCAGCTATCAGATATTGTCCATGTGCATCTCGAAGAACATTAGATGGTTTTAAATCACGATGAAGAATAGGATTTGGTTCGCTATGAAGATCAGCTAATCCTTTTAAAATTTGCTTGAGAATTTCGGGAAGAGATTTTTGAAGACCCTCCAAAGTAGAAGATTTTACGAAACTCTCCAGCGATTCTTCACATAGGTCAAGTATCAAATAGACATATTCAGTTCCGGTATCTTCTTCTAAGTAGTAACAATTTACAACATAATTCGACTTCTTAGCTTTGATTTGATTCAAAATTTTCATTTCGTTCTCTGCTTCCTTGATACAGTCATCTCGACGTACTCGTTTCACTGCTTTTCCATAACCATCCTTTTTTAGTCCAAGATAAACACGGGTTTCATTATTTCCTTTGCCAATGCAAAACTCGTCCGAGAAAATTACACGTACGTCGTTCACACATTTAACCTTGATATCTGGGTCACGTCCATACTTAATTAATTTTAAGAACATCTCTTTGTGCTTTATTGATTGATCAAAATACTTCCATTCTTCCAACTGTAATTCTAAAAATTATGTAAAAGTAATGCATTTAGGGATAAGGGATGAAAATAATCAAACATGTGGTAGTAAGCTGAAAGTAAATCATCGCACACAAGATTCGAATACGTGCGAATAACATAATAGAATAGGCTCGGTTTTTTGGTAAATTATTCAACACATTAAATGGTAATGTCCTCATTTTTTTTCAAAAAGGCTAATCTTAATTTCGGGTAGTAGAATGTTACTAAAGAAACAGATCAGAAATTACTTCGAGTTTGATCGGATATAACTTTCATTCAATGGTATTGTTTACATTCAATCATAATGCCAATATCTGTGATATTATATAGGTTGGTTGAGTTGGTAACATTGGTTAATTATTTGAGATGAAAATAAGAAGCAACTTTATTGTAAATAAACGCAGGGATATTTGTGATTAAAAGTCTTGCAAACCGAGAAATCTAAATTTTTTTTGGCGGTTCGACAGGTGTATATGCGTTTGCATTTCTCCATCCCAAATTGGTTGAAAATCTTCTTAAAGTAATCGCAGATCAACATTCCCAGTAGAAAATGAACATTGCCATCGTCGATCTTCTTGAACTATATATATAACACCAGACTGTAAACTTTAAGTGAAATTTATTGCGTTTCTGCCTGTTAATATAGCAGCCAAGACAGCGTCATCACTGATCGATTCAATTCTGTGATTGTCCTAGTCAAACATTCTGCAATACCATTATGCTCTGGAGAATAAGATCTCGTTGGTTATTGCACAAAACCTTTGCAGCACAAAACTAAAGAAACGCCTCTACCCAATATTCACCACAAATATCACTTCTTAAAGCATTCATTGTGATCTTCTGTTTGACTTAAAGCATAGCACACGAATTCCTTAAACTTGGTCAACTGATGCCAAAGTGTATTTGGAGATGGCATTTATAGAATCAATCATACCAACAGTCGATAATCGAATATACAGGTCTGCATCGGTCAACAGATATGGTCGCCTAGGTTTCTTTTGTTGCAACAGAAATATTTACTAAAGTGTTACCGCAAATATAGGAATGAGGATATTTAGTCGTAAACGTCCATCCTCAATATTCTTTGACGTTACTAAATCTCGCTTTGGTCAGCAGAACATTTAATTTCTCTCATCACCGAAAGCGTGCGTTTACTTGTAATACAATACCAAAAAGTATTACTTGCTCTGTAAAAACTTGCTTTGCGCAATTTTTGTGATGAAAGTCCCTTTCACTTTATTTGGCTTTCGGACTTCTTTGACTGCACCATATTTCATCTCATTGAGCATATCTTCCTCTTTGATCATCTTTCACTAATTTGTTGATAAAGTAACCCGTTTGATGTCTTTTGTCTGAATTGCCAAAATTCATTATTTTCAATGACGTATAACATGGTGTATAATATTTCTTGCGCTTGTACGGTTTTCAAGGTAAGTTAAGATGTTACAAATTATGTGGATCTATACATTTAATAAGAAACAAATCAGAAAAATTATCGCACTTCAGCAATGCGGGTTATCATGCGTCGGTGAACATGTTAATATTCAAGCGTCGAGTAAAGAGTGAGTATAACTAAAGTAATGACTCATGAAAATCATTCCACAAATTAAAAAGCATAAAGGCTTAAATGACTCAATCACTTCTTAACACAATCTGCAAACGCACAAAAAGTAGTAATTTACGTTCTTTAAAGCTCGGAAATAGTTAAGTGTTTACTAAAATCAAATTTCTACGAGTTCAAAAGTTATTTGATGAAACTTTTTGCAACATTGACAGATTTTTTGTGTTATCTGCATCTGTCCACACTAATGCGTTTTCGAAATTAAAAGTTATCACCGAAATAAAAGTGTGTTAAATAATTAACTACGCATGTTTATACATAAAGCGCCCAGAGTTTTCGTGACATCTTGCGCCATTAAAGATATCTTCCATGGCGAGTAATTCATACTTTCAGATACTAAGTTATCCCACCACGCGCTTGTTTTCCTGGATAAAGACAAAATCTTCCTGGCCTTCTTTCATATGGCTTATTTATTCGATAGTGGTTGTGTGAACCACTGGAAAAACCAATGTTCAAGAGTCAAAATTCTCCTTTTATAAGTTATCAATAAAAGCTAGGAAATCAAAATATTAACTTCCAAAATAGGGATTAAACAAATATACAACCTCAAAAGCACGTCAATCAGGCTCGCCAAATTTGTATTGAATTTTAAAAATGCCAGAAAAAGTAGTCATTGACGTCATCGTTCACAAAAGGCTCCGTTTTTTGACTGTCCACATTAAAACAAAACGCGTTATAGCTAGTTGAATTTCGTGTAAAATTATTGCGAATAAAAAGTGCTCAATATTGAAATAGAGTATATATTTACAAGTAAACTAGTCACAATTCTTACACTAGTTACTGAGAGTTTCATGCCAATGCAATCAAGAAACAAATGATCACAATATTGCGTGAGTTTAAATAACTGATCGTCGATATTCATAAACTATTGTTACTTGAGACAATTTTTAAGAATGTCGCTTTAAAGAATTTTTGCGAAAATCTTTCGAGAGATGAATTGTTGGAGCCCAGTGTTTGAGAGGTAGTTTAAATTTAGAAGGATTCACAACTTCTTCTTTGTTAAAGTAAAAATATGTTTTCTATCTCATTGTCATAATCAAGCTTTTCATTTTTTTATCGGCCTTCTTAAATATATTGGTAATGACAGGGTAAACCGATATTCTTTAATGAATAGTTGAATTGGATTTTATGCTTTTTTAGATCAAACTTGAACTGTACATTTGCAAAACTGTTGAACAACTGAAAAATGCACGCAACAGCAATTAGTATCATTATCTCAGCAGAAACAAAAGTGCTCAATGAAAAATTTTGAAAACGACGTCGTAAATCCTTTCCAGAGCTAACTGAAACTCAATTGGAAAAATATTTACATCGACAACCTTATCAACCTTATGAATGAAGAATATCTATAAAAAATTAAAACACATCACAGTAAAAAGTGACGATGAATCAAAGGAGTGGATTAAAATTAAAGAAAATTAGCTTAAGATCAATCCTTTGATAGTAACACAGCATGAATTTGTTCGTGATTCATTTTTATCTATTCAAGACAACAAAGTCTTAACAAGAGTTTTCACCTGACCGACTTTTTCAGAAAGAAATAATAAAATAGTTAACTTTTCTAAAATAGTTTAATATATTTCTAGAACATAAAATATAATTATAAGACTTAAAAAGGAAAAATTAATAGAGAAAAAGTATATTTATACGATTCCCGACAAAAAACGGACGTTTAAATCACCTTGCAAACAGGCGGAAAAACAAACTGCTATGTTGGAAAGTAATCAGAGAAAAATGCAACATTAATTTATAGATCTCGTTCATACTGAAGAATTATTTCTTTGACTGAAACTTACTCACAAACTGTTCTTCAAGATCAGGTCTTCATTTCTATTCTCTTAACCTTATCATTGTGTACACCAAAACAAAGAATACGGAAAATACAGACGGGTCACTCGTGTCGAAGCCTTTGATGTTTCTGTCCTCATGTTGTGCCATATGGCGGCCATTATTCTAGCAAGATATTTAGGGTTTTTCACTTGTTCCCAACCACTTAAATGACACGACGTCTTATATTGAAATATTTTCGAGTTCATTATGAAGAAATGAAGTCATGTAATTGCAGTGGTTGGAAACAAGTGAAAAGCCTTAAGTATCTTGCTGGAATGATGGCGGACATAAGGACGCAGTGCACACTTGAGTGGCCCTTCTGTATAACTTTTCTTTTGTGACCAAAAAGGGGAAGCTCTGGGAAAACTCTCAAGAAATACTCTTTACAGTTGTCAATTATTTCTTGAGAGTTTTGTAGTCATGATAAATTTTGTTGTCATATAGTTGTCAATTAAATCCATTATTGAAAATAATAGAATTATTTCAGTGGTTATAACTTACTTGTAAAATGTTCTTCAAGATCAGGTTTTGTTTTCCAATCATTAAACCTCGTGATTCTATGCACCAGCAGAGGAAGCTCTGGGAAAACTCGTAAGAAATACTGTTTATAGTTGCCTTCCTTGATATGTATGAGTGGTTTATCAAGCCGATTCTGGCGAACGTTTTGCAAAAATTTTAAGCAACCCAACCATGTGGAGTCGTATCGACTTTTATTGAAATTACTAAAGACTTCGGGTTCAATACGGTCCATCCAATTTTTTAGACCATTTAACTGCTCATGCACATCTGAGTTAAGAGGATGACCTAAATACGGTATCTCTATCTCTGGTTGGTTTGCCACATCACACAGCATATCAAAGTTCTTCTCATAGGATTGTAGATAAGGGTGTTCTAACGCCTCGTTGGCAGATGGTCTTAGTTCAGGTAAACGTTGTAGCATCCATGAAAGTAGATCTTTAAGTTGAACATCGTAGATTTCCTTTAAGCCAACAGGGTTTCCATCTAACAAGTTTTTTCAGTCTATACTCTGGAGGCCCAAAAGGATGTTTCCCTTTTGTTGCAACATAATAAGCCACCATTCCTGCATTCTAAAATCAATGAAAAGGTGAAAGTGTGAACGAAATGCCAAAAATTGAATCTAATTATTCAAAGTTACATTTCTGCACCTACCATCATATCAGATTCTTTTTTGTAACGTGCTTTATCAACCGACTCATCATTTTCACGATATGATTCAGGAGCCATCCAATACTCAGTTCCTTGGTTAGTGTTGCTTGCATATGTCTTAGAGCCATCCTTCAATATTCGGCTAATACCAAAGTCAGCTATCAGAAATTTACCTTGTGCATCTCGGGAAAACATTGGAAGGCTTTAAATTCCGATGAAGAGTTGGATTTGGTTCGCTATGAAGATCAGCTAATCCTTTTAAAATTTGCTTGAGAATTTCGGGAAGAGATGTTTGAAGATCCTCCAAAGTAGAAGATTTTACAAAACTCTCCAGCGATTCTTCACATAGGTCAAGGATTAAATAGAAATGATCCATTCCAGTGTTTTCTTCTAACAAAACATTCACTACATAATTCGATTTCTTTGCATTGATTTCAAAACAATTTGCTTCATCTTTCAGTTCAATGTAGTTATAACGAAGTATTCGTTTCACAGCTTTGCCGTAACCATCTTTTCCCAGTCCAAGATAAACACGTGTTCCATCACTCCCTTTGAGGATACAAAACTCTTCTGAGAAAATTACACCTACATCACCCACATATTCAACCTTGATGCTGGAATTGCGCCCATACTCAATAAGTTTTTGGAATAATTCTTTATGTTTTGTTGATTCACCAAGGTATTTCCATTCTTGTAACTGCAATTCTGAAATTGAAATAAAAGTATTACATTCATAGAGAGCAAATGTGCATGAATAATCAGCTGTATAAAAGTAGCTCAAGCTTCTTTTTATTGCATTGAGGATTTTCATACCAAGTGTACATTTCAAAATATTTCATGAAAAACCATCATCAACAACTCGTTCAAGCCAGTGACGTAGGAAGGAGGGCACATGCTTTCTACAACTTTTAAATTCAAAATAAAAAATTGCCTTTTTTTACAAGAAAAGTGTCGTTTTTGAATGAAAAATTTTACCAAAAAAGCTTGAGCCCCCCAACTTACCCTTGCTTCTTATGCCATTGGTTCAGGCAATACGTTCTGGCAAGAGTGGAGGATAGCAGATAACAAAAATACGGTTAAAAGAATATTACACACAAACAATTTTGTGACGAACAACTTGAGTGAAACTCTGAAGGAAGAATATTTAGTTTTTCAACCTTAAACTTATAATAAAAGTTGACTCATAGTAAAATTTATCTTTTAGCTAAGCTGAATTTATTTGATTCTGTACCTTTATTCTTCTTCTTCCTATCGAGGTCTTGTACTTTCTGTTCCATTAAGCCGTTTAAGTAATGACGCCCTTCCTTTTCGTATATTTGCATTAGACGCTGCATGGCATTTTTTTGTTTCTCCATATCTTTGCCATTTGTAACAATCTCCAAATAAATTTCATAAATACGTGTTGCTTCACCCCAATCTTCAAGTTTATCAAACAATTCAGCTAATTCCCAATAAACAGCTAACACTTCACTTACAATTCCAGCAGAAGTAACAAGAGACAAGTTTTTCAAGTAATGGTCAACGAAATCTTTACTAATGTTAATACCACAAACTTTTTCTTGTCGTTGTAGTTCACGTTTATTTTGTTCTTGTTCATTTTGTTCTTGTTCTTGTTGTTGTACCTGTTGGTTTCCTTTTTGCATTTCCTGTTGCTCTTGACATTCAAGAAGATTAAATCCTTTTTTGTAATGCTCAAGAGATTTCTCATAATTTCCAAGCAACTTATACAATCCTCCTAATGCAATATGGCAGAGACAATCCATTTCATTTTTCTTTATGGCGTCCTTCAGTCTGTTAGAGGTAGAATGAATACTCCCCAGGCCAAGGTATATTTGATGCTGAAAATACTTAATTTCCACTTTAGAAGAAAGATTCAAACAATCATTAAAACAGTTTAATCCTTCCTGCCATTTATCAGAGAGAGTATAAGCGTTACCAAGACCAAAGAACGCCATTATTTTGACGCTAATTTCGTTTGTAACTTCCAAACATTCTTGGTAGTGTTTAATTGCCCTTTCGTAATCGCCATTTTTCATATTAGAATTTCCATCTTTCAAGGACTGCATAGCTGCTGGTTGTGACGGCCGTAACCCCATCTCTTCTCGTGATACGGCAAATATTTGTTTGAGCTCTTGATTATTATTTCCAACTTTCCTTCAGTGTAACTTTCCAATCCCAACTTTGGATTAATCAAAGGAAACGTAGTGGTTCTTTTAGAAGCGTTGATAGAGTATCTGTGAATTAACTTCGACTGTTATTTGTTACAAGCGAACAGGAAAATTTTTTGTTTCATCTATTTCTACGTAGATTTTAGGCGCTAACGTCTTATTGACTGTTTTCTTGGGTATTCAATTTAAAACAGTAAAGAAAATTAATTGATGGAGATTCTTCAGCTAAAAATATGATAGATATAAGCGAATTTGTTCTTAATTATGTAAATGTATTCTTATACTTGCATGCTATTTATCAACAATCTTCAATACTTCCTTTTGTCCTTATTTTCTCACCGCTCAACAAATACGAGCAATTTTAGCTGAGTTTTAACACACGGTTAATGCCCTAATGGCCAGTGGCTCAAGAACTTCTGTTAACCAACCAATTCTTATAAATATTCACAAATAACAAAATTTTGAAGAAATAATGTAAAAGAATTTCAGATACAAATGATAAATGATGCAATCGATTTAAATAATGCCAAGACCAACTTTCCCAAGAATTTTTTTTTAAATTGCCTGCCTGTCATTTCCGGCAACGATTTACATCGTCATCCGACAAGAGAAAATATGAAATGTTTTAGATCAGTTTATCGTCTCAACAAAGTTTTTTCTTTTTTATCGCTGTGGCGAAAAGTATACAAAAAATATAAGATTAAAGACATAGAGTTAAACAGAACTAACCCTAGCAAATGAATAGATTATACATCATGAAATATTTCACATATATTCAACCCAACATTTAACGCGTACCATTCTTTAGTTTTGTGATTAATACAACAAAGTCTGGAAAACTTACAATTAAGACGACGATCTTTAAGTGTTTGAAAATTTGAGAAACTTTGATTTCGTTGCCATTTTTGTTAGAAACAGATTATAAACATCAAAGTATGTTAAATGTGTCCCCTTCCTAACTCCACAATGTGGAGTTACGATTTGTTAAATAACGATTTGTAATTTAATTTTGCCCCCTTCCTAATGTGGAGTTAGGAAGGGGACAAAATTAAATAACAAATCGTCGACTCGTGTTTCAATTCGTCGACTTGAACAATTCGTCGACTCGTGTTTCAATTCGTCGACTTGAACGATGACTTGAACCTTACGGTATGCAAATGCCAGCGGCTATTTTTTGGCGATACTTCGTGATTTGGAGAGTTTGGATGCATATAAAATTATGACATCTCGAACAAAACAATAAGTCGGAGAATCAAAGAATTTGGTTTGAGAGAAGAGGTCCCCAAATACACTGATATTCCAAACGATGACCTTAATAAAATGGTTTCAGAAATCTTTAGAGAATTTCCTAATTGTGACATTCGTAGAATGAAGGGATTTCTTATGGCAAGAGGTGTAAAATTGCAATGGGAAAGAGTGAGATCATCTCTGTGGAGAATTGACCCAGATGGCATTATATTAAAATCAATGCAACTTAGTCTAGTTAACCGAAGGAAGTACTTTATTCCTGGGCCATTGTTCTTATGGCACCTGGATGGCAACCATAAATTAATAAGATGGTGGTTTGTTGTTCATGGGTGCATTGATGGCTACTAAAGGTGTATTATGTATTTAAAAGCGAATACAAACAATAAAACCAGTACTGTGTATAACCTTTTTATTGAAGCTGTTAATAACTTTGGCCTCCCAGAAAGAGTTAGGGGTGATCAAGGAGTAGAAAATATTGATGTTGTGTGGGACATGCTCTCCAATCCAGATAGGGGCCCTAATCGTTGTAGTTTTATTGCCAATAAAAGCTGCCACAGTCAACAGATTGAAAGCGATTGAAAGCTCTTTCATGGTTCTTTATTTATTTTTTATTATGTCTTTTGGTACCTTGAGGAAAATGGTCATTTGGAGCTGGATAATGAGTTACATATTTTTTGTTTACATTATGTTTTTGTTCCCAGAATTAATTGGCATCTTGATCTTTTCAGAAATGGCTATGATAATCACCCATAAATTAATAAATATAATTTATGGTTTGGGCATGTGGAAAGGAGGAAAGAAAGTGCTGAAATTCGTAGAACGTTGCATATGCATGTTGATGGAATCTGCAAACGAGGTAGACCGAGAAAGAGATGGATGGATGCTGTGAACAGTGATATGAAGGCGATGGGTATAACAAGAGATATGGCGAGAGATAGAGACGTTTGGCGTAGAAAAGTCCATGGACCGGTCAACCCCCCTGGCGGGGATTAATACTGGCCGGTAGACAAATGTTGTTTGTTTGTTTGTTTGTTTTAACATGTAACTGATGGAATAAAATAAACTCTGTAAATATTTAAACTTCTCTTCTGTACATAATTTATTTCTTAGTAAATTTTTGTAATTGTTTTTGAACAAAAGCACGCCCCTTGTGGAAATCAACCCCAGTTGACAAGGCCAGCGTGTCAAAATAAAGATTTTCATTCATTCATTCATTGCGTAACCAAACCAACATTTATAATTTTATATTGAATTTCATGATTACTGATGGATCAGTACTATTGATTGCATTGTGTGTATCTGCGCAGTATAAAGCAATTTACTATAATGCCATCATACAAAACTGAAGATCTCGTCAAAAAAAGGCATACTTTTCAGAATACTGAGAATATAGGCTAAGTAGATACATTGATGATTGTCATTTTGCGAGTGCAGTAACTGGCTTTGACAAAAAAATGATACGATGAACCTGACGGTTGAAATAAACAATTAAGACAATAGTATACCTCAGCAGCAGCACTCTTCTCCCTCAATGCTTTTAACTTTTCTCGCAGTTTCAATGCTTTTAACTTTTCTCGCCGTTTCAATGCTTCTTGCTCTAATGAAGTTTCTTCGGCCATATTTATTTACAGAGCTTTATATTGACCACGCGCACATAGAAGTAGCCTGGGCCGAGAATCAACAATACAGAGTGATAAAGAGATGTCAGCAAATGGCAGAAAACGATAACACAAAAATCTAGCTTGTACTATTAATTCGTACGGATAACTATGGCATCTACAGATACTCTAATACTGGTACGTTTCATCTTATAGATAATTCTAACATTAGTTGCAGAAATATAAATTATATTTTGACTCAAGCAAGTGCAATATTTTACTTGGCAACAGGGCAGTACAGTATCAACTATTATTGTCGAACAAGATTTTACAGGCACCAACAAAACGTGTATTTGCAAGGTTTGCAGAAGCACGGAGGTGATCCGGTTTTGACATTTTGGAAAGCATTTGGAATACTGATGTAAGGTTTGTTTTTAAAAATGTAGAGTATTGTCGTTCTCAATCTGCAGTTGTTGCGTTGCATAGTCCATGGCAACAGGCTTTCTCTAGATTTTCTTGTAATTGATTGTCCCATTTTTACTAGTACTTTGTCATTTGATGCATTCTGACTGTTTTAAAACTGTCTGTGTATACTGCACCCTTCAAATAAGAAAATTTTCACTTTATTTTGTCTCCTGTCATTTCACATATGAAGCTTTACATTCTGCCAGCAGAATTTATGTCAATTTATAGTGGTTGGTCTCTTATCCATCACTAAACTAGCTTGTGCTTGCTTAAAAGCTCTATTTCTTTCTATTTAAAATGATCCAATGGTATTTATTAAAATATACTGTATTGTCAATACTTCATAATGGTTGTTACATTGACTTGCAGATCGTCTGTCAGAAGCCATTAGAGAATTTGAATCCATCCATGAAAGTGAAAAAGTTGTCCTGTGTTGTTTGATGGCATTAATTTATGCACATAAAAAAGGCACAATTAATTGACAAGGAAAGTGTACATGAATTGGAAACAAGATTGAAAAAGATTCGAACAAGTGTTGGTGAGAATGTGCTATACTTTACTGCAATGTTTTTATGGCACACAGGGCATCATAAAAAAGCAAGAGAATATGTTGACAGAATGTTGAAAATGTCCAATGGTTCGAAAGAGGTTTTCTTAACATGCCTTTCACATCATAACCACAATTTAACCTGTCTTCTTTCATATGTACATACAGGGAACTATTTTACGTGGATGTATTGATCTTACAAGTACACGAGATTCTGCCATTAAGAAATCCATAAAATATTTTGATGAGGCTTTACAGGGGTATGTTAATGTTTTCTCATAAAGACTTTACAATTTTCAATATTTCAATATAATATTTTCCAACTTCAGAGAATATTGATGCACTGTTTGGGAAGGTATGTAACATACACAAAGTACATAGAAAACATCCATGCCATTTTGTCATGTCATGTTTTTCATTTCTCTTTCAAGGCTACATATCTTGTAAAGAAAAGTAATTTCACTTTGGCGCTGGAATTTTTTAATAAAGTAAGTTGTTTATTGGGAAATATCAATGGAAGTGGAGTCAATAATTCAAACAAGACCTGGTATGATTGTGCAAGGACAAACAATGCAATTGCAAGTGAAGGCATCCACCAGCCCTGTTGCATATGAGAAACTTAAGAATATTCTTCTCAAAGAGTAAGTTTTGCATTGAGAGAAGAGCATTTTTGTGTAATTTTCATTTGTTTTTTTATCATATCAAAATGTACAACAAGTAAATCTTCACAAATGCTTTCATACGAACTACCATGTATTCAGATCTTTTTGTTAACATTATGATACTGAAGCGGAATGCAATAGTTAATTTATACCTGTAAAATTGGCCTGTGTTTTTTACATAGGCGTCGTCAAACGTGTCGCAGCGATTTAGAAGTAAGCACAAAGTTGAATACTGCGTGATATAAAGCGCTCTCAAAGACCAGCGGAGAGTTTTTAAAAATAACTTGCACTCCTAACTTGATTTTGTATCTACGAAAAAGTTATTTCTGTTACCTACTGTCTATGTTTTCCTCACTTTCCTTCCCTACGCTCCTGCATATTATTGTCTACGTATATATTAGCGTATATTTCTATTGAGAAAGCAGTTATCTTATATTTATCTCCATTAACCATGCATTTTCTTTTAAGAAAAGTGCTGGTAATTGAAAAATAGATTGATTGCAAACTATGTAGGTTAATATCATACTGTAGCTACGTACTTTTTGCAATTAAAAAAAAAACAGGTCTTTTTTCCTCATCAACGTTTTCGTTCATGGTGGCTAGATTAGTCTACTGTATGGTAATACTAAAGATGAATATGTTCAGTTGCGTAGCCAGCCTACAGATTAACTTTTTATGTGTAAATTTCAGAAGTTTACCATTATTCAATTCTTTGAAATTTGTTGTTCTCACGGTCCCGTGCATAATTGCATAGTGGCAATATTTTATGTTATATATTTCTTTCGTCCGACAAACATTACTGACTATCTAGTTAGATTATTCCATCCATTTGATATATTCATTTGTGTGTTTTAGTGAAGATATCGTTCATGCCTTTCGGAAACAGGAGGAAATTGTCAATGCTGCATCTGCAGAAGTGATCGAGTTCTGAGGGAGCAACGAAAGACTCTTTGAGGTTCATAAATTTGTTCGAACTTGGAATAATACCGTGTTAAATTCATGGCGTGGAAGGCCGACGGAAGTTATTGAGGTACGTTCATATCATGTTAGGACATGTTGAACATGATTGTGACAAGATTTCTTTGCATGATATAAGGTGTATAACAATACGTATATTAAATGAAGATATGATCTTCGCATGAGACAATTGCTTAAATTGTCCAACAAAGTGCGAAGATCATATCTTCATTTAATTTCAAACACCGCACTGCATAAAAACATTCATATAACATTCATTTCACGAGAAAACATGAGCCCAACAAAATTGACCTGCTCACCACTGTGTGACTTCATAGCTCAGTAGGTCAGATTACTGCACCGGCACCGCAGAGGTCATGGGTTCGATTCCCGTTGAGTCACCTGATTTTTTCAGGTTTATGAGACAATTGCTTAAATTGTCCAACAAAGTGCGAAGATCATATATTCATTTAATTTCAAACACCGCACTGCATAAAAACATTCATATAACATTCATTTCACGAGAAAACATGAGCCCAACAAAATTGACCTGCTCACCACTGTGTGACTTCATAGCTCAGTTGGTCAGAGCACTGCACCGGCACCGCAGAGGTCATGGGTTCGATTCCCGTTGAGTCACCTGATTTTTTCAGGTTTATGAGACAATTGCTTAAATTGTCCAACAAAGTGCGAAGATCATATCTTCATTTAATTTCAAACACCGCACTGCATAAAAACATTCAAATACGTATATTACTCACAAATATTAAACCAAAAGTCTTATTATACCTCGAGCATATACCTCAACCTCAGCACACCACCATTTTTATACCGCGTAAAATTTCAACTTTACTGGATGACGAAAAGTTAAATAGGAAACAGAAAGGAGAAAATGAAATTGTACATAATTATACAGTCCAGCTTCATACAGCCGTTGTCACTGTGACGCTCTTGTCACATCGGCTTTGTCATCTCAGTTTTTGGTCAAGAATATTCGTGTGAAAGCTCAATCCGATCCTCGTCATCTTGTCCAGTGGAGATTATTCGTTATCCACTACAACCTCCCTCACCGCACTGTATTTCAAGGATGCAAGATGTAATATAAATGCCATGTATCATCAATTGAAAATAAGTCTCCAGGGAAGTGTTTTCATCAATATGCTATTAATATGCTTTTAGAAATGATCCAAAATTCATTCAGTAGCCTGTTTGACTGAGAAACCTGAAGAAACATGGAAATTAACTGACATTTTTCTATGTACATTTTTTAGAAACAACTTAGATTAATACCTGGATGGTAGAATTAGAACAGTTCACGAAGTCAATCTGCACAACTAATGGTTTATTAATGGTTGATTGCCGAAATATCAGAGATAGCATCGTTCCGAAACTTGGTTCCATTTTTTGACTACTTTCCAAGATGGTTGCAAAGGATCTTATGAGGATGTCGAAGAAGTTCATTGACGAGGCTCAACAGCTTGTTAGGGTAATACGTTTTTATCAACATGCCACTTTTTTACTGCGGAAGTACTGTTTGCAGTGTAATATTTGATAAAGTTTCCGTTACTCAACATTCAGCAACATTGTAGCAACTTAGCTATAACATCGTGTAAGCCCGTTATCGGAAACATCACAAAAACTTACAATATCACTTATGTAACCCAACGTAGAGCAACATTACATTATACAACATTACGTAACCCAACATACAGCAATATCATAACATCTTAAAATATTACATAACCCAACATTACGCAAAATAGCAGCTTGCAACATCACGTAACTACGCATTTGGCAAAAACTAAGTAATATTAGTAATATTAGAACATTACTCACTAAACAGATCACAACAATTACCGACACCTTACAAACGACTTATTCACAACCTCAAACGAACGAGCAATTTATTTACTTGAGCCTATTCTACGATGACAATACACAATTGATGCCCACACACCGACACATTTCCTCTACACGCAATGACACATGAACTCTGAAGATGACTACCGCTCAGGTTGTCAAAACGTCAGTCAACATCAACACCAGCAGTCCTGCTAAAGCCTCTACTAACCTGGATGATCTACAACTAAAAACACGTAACTAAATAACATTGATAACTAAATAACAAGTTATGACATGCGTAGATGTTCCATGATTCGTTAGTCGCGGAAACTACGTGGCATTTTTAGTAGTTGCGTTGTTAGCCCGCAATGTTTGGTCCTGCTATGTAAATTTTAGATCATTAGCGTTATTTATTTGTTTATAAATTTATTGTTTTTATGCTGAGGAAACATCGAATAAAATATTTTGGTATATTTACACTATTTTTAAAACGAAAACGATAAAACAGTATATGTGATGTGATAAGTTTGTCAATACATAGTTATTCCATACAGAGGAGTAACTAGAACGTTAATTGAGGTGTGTGTGGGGGGGGGGAGGGGCATATTCTTATAAAATCCGTTGTGCCTTACTGATTTCTTTTGAACGTGAATTGAATTTCAAAAGAAATCAGTAGAGCACAACTGAATATATGAATATACACCTCCCCCAATTAACATTCTAGTTACACCTCTGATTCCATGACGTAACGTGGTGATGTGAAGGGATACGATAAGTTTCTAAGTCTAGGTTAACAAATTTTTTTTTGTTTTAAACTATGTGTATTATATTCGATTGTATAAAGTTTTGTCATTTCGTTTAACTTATTGCCCAGTAATATCTCACATCATATTGTGCATAGAAACAAACTGTAATAATAACATAGAAAAAGGATTTAATAATCATAAATAATTCACAAACTTACATAATGTTCAATAACAATACCGTCTATGTATCAGGAGAGGACATCTTGCTCATCTCTGTTTATTGAATGTGTTCTTTTTAGTCTGTTGAGCATCAAACTCGTGTTGTTGGTAAAAGGGCAACAAGCGGAGAGTTCTTGATTTCTAAGAACAATTCCTCGTTGATGATATCAAGTTTAATGAAGGTAAAGATTGCCGTTCATGATTTTCATGTCTACTGAACTCACGAACTGTTTTCACGGAACTCTCGAATTCTCGCGAGAGAAAAGAATTCACAATTATGCCACAGTGAAAGTGTTTTCGGAGAATTCTTTCTGGAAGAAAGAGTTCACAATTTCAGCTTAGTTTTATCGTAGAATTCTTGCTAGAGGGAGAGAATTCACATTTAAGAATATTTCGGAACTGTCGAACATGTCTTCGGTAGTCAAATTCAACTTTTTTTCGCTTTAGCTTCGGAGAACATTTAGAGGTTATATGAATGATTTGGACGAACTCGTGGAATACAGAGAAGTGATTTCAGGCAATAAGTTTTGTAAAGATGAACTTCTACAAATATTGAAGAACGTTGACGTACGTTATGAGTTGTGGAAGTATTATGAAGGGTGCGGCGAGAAAATCGAACATTGGCTTCAAACACCATTTTTTAAGGTAAAGCACCGTGACTGAGCGCATAGCATGATGCGAGAATGATATCATTGCGCTTTTAGCCTAACCCACCAACAAGATGAACATTACAATACTGGTACATTTAGAAGAGATATTCAATAACCCACCAACAAGATGAACATTACAATACTGGTACATTTAGAAGAGAAATTCAATAACCCACCAACAAGATGAACATTACAATACTGGTACATTTAGAAGAGATATTCAATAACCCACCAACAAGATGAACATTACAATACTGGTACATTTAGAAGAGATATTCAATAACCCACCAACAAGATGAACATTACAATACTGGTACATTTAGAAGAGATATTCAATAACCCACCAACAAGATGAACATTACAATACTGGTACATTTAGAAGAGATATTCAATAACCCACCAACAAGATGAACATTACAATACTGGTACATTTAGAAGAGATATTCAATAACCCACCAACAAGATGAACATTACAATACTGGTACATTTAGAAGAGATATTCAATAACCACCAACAAGATGAACATTACAATACTGGTACATTTAGAAGAGAAATTCAATAACCCACCAACAAGATGAACATTACAATACTGGTACATTTAGAAGAGATATTCAATAACCCACCAGATAAGTGTGGTTTCTCTCTTATCGACCATTGTTTTATCTCAGTTTCATAACAATGATAAAACGTTTCAAGTGTTTGAGACAGTGTGGACATCGTAAGAGATAGCGTTCTGCTGACATTGCTCAAACTTTCTGCATCATCACCAATAAGCACTACGGGAAAAATATGTTTGTAAACGATGGATGGATTAACGATGTTTTCAGAGAAGAGGGGTCTAGTTTGGAGGAGATTTAAGTATCAACTATTGCTGTACCATGCTGGACTTTTTCTTATTAATTTCTGATACCAGGTACGTTATTCTAAAGATTGGGATATTTTGTAAGTGACCTCCATTAAACATTAATAACAATTACAGATTACTTTTGCTGAACACTTAGGTGTTTTAATATTTTGTAGGTAGCCCTTCCTGCACCCCATCTAACCAAGGCTCAAAGAAGTGCAGACCCCTCCCCTAAACCCCTCCTGTACACCCTCTAACCAAGGCTCAAAGAATTGCAGACCCCTCCTCTAAACCCTCTAACCAAGGCTCTAAGAAGTGCAGATACCTCTCCCCTATAACCCTCCTGCACCCCCTCAAGCAAAGGCTCAAAGAAGTGCAGACCCTTTCCCTAAACTCCACCACAAATCTCAAATTTTAGATTGCTTTAAAATATACGGTTGCAGAAAATGAGCGGAAAAATAAAATTAAACATTCACCTTAGTTTGAAGATCATTAAGAATCTCACTTTGTTTATTCAACTCTCCTTCAATGACATTTGCCTGGGCAGTAAAAATCACGTTAGGATTATAAAAAAAATTGTGGTACCGGCCAGGCTAGCCAGTACTTGGGTATGAAACATAGTATTCAATAGACGACTTGCCTTGTTTGCATTTTGCTGGCAGGCAGATTTGGTCGAGTGGTTTTGAACGACTCTAGCAACAATGGTCAACTTCTCTTGGAATAATCTGCCTGCCAGATTATTCCATACACTAGGCAAGTCATCTATAAATACTCCCAAGTTATTTAAGTTATTTGTTTGTATATTTGTTGTATTCAACTCTGCTATTCATTTAATACAGCAGTGAAATGCGTCAATAACCACTTACTTGGAAAGAAGCCACTGAATTAGACGTAGCCTCGGTTCTCCCGGTTTAAAAGCAACTCGGACATCCAAGATTCATCAACATTTTCAACATAGGACAACAAAGTGCCTAGTAGAAAAAATCTCTTATTCAATCACTCTTCCCGGGTTCAACTCCTCAATACAAACATAACATAAGTACTTATACTGAAAAGCTATCAAAAAAAGCATTTTTAGTCTTCCAAATAGTGTTAACCTCAAGTTTTTCTCTTATAACTTTCACACGTCTATTCTTTGCCGCCATATTTTTAAGCTAAAGCATTTGCATACGTCAGACTCATGACGTCAAGCACGACCGATCACGATTCGTCCCGATGGATTGTGAGCTCGCATTATTATCCTATATAAAGAAGAGTACGAAAACATATGTCTTGACTCTTTGTCTTTACTATGTTCACAACTTTATAGTTGACAGTTTGTATTGGATCTTTTTGTCCGTAACAATCATGAAGTGTATTACTCTGGCAGAGAATTTGAAACCTCGTTCATAAGGAGGCGAGACTAAGTACTCAGGACGTCGTCGCGAAGCCAAATATTTCTTTGAAGAGGCTGCTAAAAATTTGGAAAGAAAGCTCAAACGAAGTGAAAAAGACACAGAAAACGAAAACACTCGCGAAAATGTTGGCGATCGAAGTGTCACGTTGGGTTCTGAGGATTTGATCTATTCAAGCGCAGACGTTGGTTTATTTTCGTCAATTTTGTTCGCTTATAATAGTCATTTGAAACTGCGAACGTCTCCCGATGACTGGTGGTTTGTTGTCATCAGAAAGGTCGCCATACATGACAAGGTTGGCATGTATGAAAATACTTGTGAAGTCCGATTTTAGGTATAGTATTTTAGATTTTATTGATGTATTTGAATCATAGAACAATCGATGGGCAAGCACAGTTAATAATTAAAATAATTAACATTGGGGGGGGGGCTCAAGATAATTTGAAGATTAAAAATTTGGGCAAATTTTCAACGTTCGTACAGTAAAAAATACTAGTGAAACAAATTTTGACATGTAATTTGAAATCTGGGGAGTTCAGGAAAATATCAACTGCCCCCCTCTAGAAATGATGGCTCACATACACCCTTTCTGAACTGAAACTCTTGTAAATACACTTTCATTATTCATGAATTTTAAACAAATTTCAGGTAAGAAAACCTTGGACGTAAAAGTGAATTCTAATAATATCTATGATGTAAACTACACCACTTTTTTTGACGCCATGTCTTGTGAAATATCAAAGAATGTCAAAGTTCCTGGTTATGTTGATCTGATATCTGCTGATTTCTCATCAAGCACACCAGTGCAAAAGATTGTATCTCAAATCACTTTGATGTCTTCATTACAGGAGTTCTTTGAATACAGGTGGCAACTTTTATGTATTTATTCCTGCTACAGGATTTTCACAGTCCTTGCAAAATATACATGAAGCAAATTGGTCACAATGTATACAATGCTTTATGTGATAACATGAATGATGAAACATTTTTATTGTTTTATAGAATGCATTTCTTGTGTGGGATTCCAGCTGTTGAAATGCTAGGCACTGAAGAAGATTGGAGGAAACTTATTGGAAAACTAGATGCACTCCAAAATCTTCTTAAACCGATTAAGCATGAGTTGGGGATACCACTAGAATGGTGGAAACTGGCAGAAAATATATTTAAGAAACTGCTTGCAACTTACTGTGGTGAACCTGATTGCGAATGGTGGTCAAAAATTGTCAGCAAAGAGGGATTTGGTTCAGGACCTCGGCGCTATGAAGAATGGATCCCACAGTTCATGGCAAACTTAAAAAGTCCTGCAGATTTCAGTGATTTTACAAGTGGACTTGTCACTGTACAGCTAACTCTTTCACATCTGTCAGGTTTAGTTGATGAGGTTGCATTAGTTGCTGGATGTCTGGGTTATCAGCTTCACGAGAATGATGACAACATACCATCTGTACAGCCTTATCAAGGATGGTGTCTTATGTTGCCAAAGAATTCACCATTTCGAGCTGAACACCAATGATTGAGCCATTTTGAACAATCTTGCTACGTTTTTAAGACAAAATTAATAATCACTACTCTCTACTTATTATAGACAGCAAAATGTATGAAAAAAACTTATTTATTTAAAATATTTGATGTTATTTAGTTGTTCTATCTACGTAATATATTAAAAAATAAACTATTTTTGAAGATGAAGTATGAACAGGTCGAAGGACCAGGTGGGAGGTGAGACACCCACCCACATTATATGATTGGTCAAGTCAAAATGGGTAGTTAAGAGTTCTTTCAAAGAGATTCTGCTTTCGGTTGAGAAACTCCGTTTCCGTAGATCATTTGATAAACGTGACTACTCAGTCAATGGCATATTTTCGGAACGCTTCTTGAAGTCGGTGACAGTCATGAAGTGTATTACACTGGCAGAAAATTTGAAACCGCGTTCATTAAAAGACGAGACTAACGACTTAGGAGGTCGTCGCGAAGCCAAATATTTCTTTGAAGAAGCTGCTAAAGATTTGGAAAGAAAACTCAAACGAAGTGAAGACACAGAAAACGAAAACACTCGCGAAAATGTTTGCGATCGAAGTGTCACGCTGATAAATAAGATAAACTACACAACTTTTGTTAATCTTAACAACCGCCGACTGTTGTTTTTGTTTTAAAATTCTTTTCATTATTATAATACTAGTATTTTATATTGTGTCATTCAGAGGATACCAGCCAATGACGTCAGTAATGTATTATGGCATAATTTAGCATAAGGCTTTTTTTCAAAATGGCGGATAAGGATTCAACTTTATGTCAAATTTTCTCAACAACAAAATTCAAAAGAGACACGAAAACACGAAATTAAGTATTCCATAGCTATCTATGATAAACGTATGAAAAAAAATTTTCGTTGCCAATGTCCTTTAATAATTAACTTGAACAGTTGTCGTTAATTTGTTGTCGTCATGATAAACATTAGGTACGCAATTACGCATACTTGAATATTTTAAGCTGTGGTCTCGTCCATCGTTTTCAAGCTATTTTCATATGATATTGTAACAGGACCTGGCTGAAATTTCAGCACGACAAACAGGGCTAAAACTTAGCCCGGATTGAAATTGCTCCATGTAATTGTCCTCTTAAAATCACAAAAGACTTACATGATGGCTCTTTCAAAAATTGAGGAGACGGCTCATCTTCAGTCGTGTTTTCTGTAATCAAGAAATAGATAAAAAAAGAAAGCCTAAATGTGTGTTTCTTGATATCAAAATCAAACTTAAGCTTTAATTGTCCATAGAAAACAAATATTTATCTTCTTCCCATGTAAATATTATATCTCTTTTGACATTTACTCAACTGAAAGGAAACATGTGTTTATTAGTTGACTTACTTACTTAAATATCTATGGTAGTGGCCTTTCAGGCTATGCCACGTTCTTCCTTCAATAATCTAGAAAAATTTAGATCAGACAAATGTTATCAAAGTGCTGATCCCATTTTACGACATAATCGTCAATGCATTACATTTTCTTCTGCCATTTTTTTCCAAAAGTTGTGGTCGTACACTTCTCTGCGCTGTGTTAGGTTTGATTGATGTAGCCATCTATCTTACAGCTAACTGTTATCATCACCATCTATAGATTCGTGCGAATTGAACTCCTGCGTGCTGTGGGTGAAAACGTTTCTTGATAATCAATTTCCTGCACTTGAGAGTAACCTTTGGCTACAAATCTGGCTTTAAACGTTTCCGCCTCGTTTTGGTCTGTCTTAATTGTGTAAACCCATTTCTCCCCCACTATTTGTCTATTATTTGGTTTTTGTACAAGCTCATATGTATCATTTTCTACCAGGGCTTTCATGTCAATATTCATGGCCTCTTGCCATTTTTTCTGATCATGTGCTTGAACAGCCTGTTTGTATGTTAATGGCTTGTCCTCAACCCTATAACAATAGTCTACTGTAAGACTTAAATTGTCGTTTGTTTGGTTTTGTCCAAAATAACTTGGTTTGCTTCGTTTCCGTGTGGGATATCTAACTAGTTCTTCTTTTTCATGCTGCCCTTGTGCGTGCGTGTTACTAATTAATTCAGGATTGTTTTGTTTTTGAAATATCTTTTTGATCTTTTAAATTGTGCGGCTTTTCTTCTGTTTCATTCATACTATCTGCATTTTGTATTCGATCTGAAATCATATCGTCGATATCATTTATTTTTCTGCCTGAAATTTATCATGAAATTTGACACATCGTGCCTTCTCTACTTTATTTGATTCCGAATAATAAATCAAATATGCCGGACTTTCTTTCTTATAACCAACAAAGATTCCTTTTCGACCGCGATTGTCTAACTTTTTGGCATTTTGTACGTATGCATAACAAGTGGATCCAAATACATGCACGTTGCTTAAGTTTGGTTTCTTACAAACCAAAGCCTCGAAGGGTGTTTTTCCTAAACGTGAGTTGAAACACCTGTTTCGAATGTAGACTGAAGTCATCAAAAAGTCATCAAACCATATTTGGGTAGCTTTGCCTCCAATAAGAGACATCTTGCCAGGGTGTAGATAAAAAGCGGACGCGGACGGCGGATGTTGTATAAATATGTTGCGAAAAATAAACATTGAAAAAGCTGAAATAAAAACGAAACTAAATGTTGCTTTTAAGAGATACAATGAACCACCTCTCGACTATAACAATAATGAGCAATGTTGTATAAATACACACATGTGCAGTAATTATCTTTATATTTCTAAAAATATGTGTCTCCATCACAGCTGGCGTTTTACAGACGCACCTATTCCGTTAACTCTAATGTTACGGATATCTTTGGTGTGTACTTGACGTTCATGTCATCAATCTAACAAGCATATTAGGGTGTTTTCCGTCTGATGTTATCACGAAAGACCGTAAATTTAAAGTCTTAGACAGACGCTCTTTGATGTTCTTTGTTATGATCTGCAATTGCGATGCCATATCATTGTCGAAGTTTTGTCACAAACTGCGCAAAAGCAAAATGCATGAGTGATCCACCCAAAACTTGTATTCATTCATAAGTTATAAAGTTAATCGAAAAGTGTACTTGTACATTGTGCACGTAAAACATTACGGATAAACGCAACTTTACAGTCAAGAACAAAACATAGCGGTTTATAGCTTATCACCTATATAAAACTATATAATCTTTCATGTATGCAAATAACAAATTAAACGTTGTTTTTGTTTTAAAATTCCAGTGAACAAATGTGCTATATATCATTATAATACTATTATTTTATATTGTGTCATTCAGTGGATAATTCAAAAGAGACACGAAAACACGAAATTAAGTATTCCATAGCAATCTATGATAAACGTATGAAAAAAATTTTCGTTGCCAATGTCCTTTAATATAAATAACTTCCTTTTTACTTTCCATTTTTAGCAACGACTTAGAACCTTTGCAAGACTGAATTTAAAGCCGACTATGATTTATCCATTACCATTCTTACTTTTTCATATAGTGCAGTTTTATTTTAGTCATTAAAGAAGCCGTAGTGTGTCACAAATTCATTTTCGTTTGTGGAAAAATGTTTCATGTAAAAGCCATTTTCTTTAAATCACCAATGTTATCTTTAAGATCTTTTAATTATTCTACTCTCACCTGGTGATGGAGTGGGTTAGTTTCTGTTCTGTCATGGTGTAAGTAATTTGACTCATCAAACAGCATTAATTTTATCATGAAGCATATGCTAATTTGGGGGATATAGAATGCAATGAATGTGGGCTAGTGACGCAATACGTCATCGTAATTATGCTATTTGCATATCCTACATAAGTTTTGATTTGTTCGTTTGTGGTCATTCTTCATCGTGACGTGCTGGAGGCCTTTAAAGTTTATAAAAAAAATATGGCAAAGAGTAGGAGAAACCTCGAAATAAAGAGGAGTCCTCAAAAATGCAGAAAATGCAAAAATCACGGCGTACTCGCCGATTTAAAAGGACATAAAAATAATTGTAAATATAAACATTGCAAATGCAATGCATGTAAAGTAATCAATGATGAGAGAAGGAAGACGGCTGCAAGAATAGCTGCATCCAGAAAAGGCAAGTGTTTGCTCGAATCAGATGGTATGTTGCACAACAATCTATACTTTCTTGTTTAATGTTAAATTAATACAACATTTGATTTTCCCAATAATTCCTGCACTATATGTGATGTTCGTTTGGTGAAAGGATAAAAATCAGTTCGTCCAACTAAAAAAATTTTGTTTTCTTATCTTCAATTTCTCTAAAGTGATGTTAGCTAGCAAACTGTTTTTTCACACATCGTTACGATAGACAAAATCTTTCAAAAACTATTTGTAAAAAACGAACAGACTCACTTGAATGGCACTATCGCAGACAAAAATGAAACATGTGTTAGAAGCATTAGTTACGACATAATCCTGGGTCGAGAGAAAAGATTTTATTCCAGAATGAGAAATATTTCATTCAAAAATTATACGAAAGTTATTTACGTTGTTCTTTCTGTCATTGGTGTAACCTGTTCTGAGCAAATGCCACCGCTATAGAAAATTACCATTTTTCATTTCTATAGAACTTTTATCATTTGAAATGAGTAAAACCAAAAATATTATCTATGTTACAACAACCACCACTTCGCCAATAAGAAGCACTATTAATTGGAATTTTCATTTACCGCGTGGTATAAACTTCGCGCCAGGGACGCCGGACTTTTACAATGTCCGAGTACAAACGTTTAGACATGATTTACAATCGATGTGATTAAAGTATACTTTCAAGCTGTAACTGACGCACTGACTAACTTGCAACTGCTTCTAACCTCAGGTTAATAAAGTCCTGAGAAGGACTGTTTTTGTTGTTGTTGACTGACGTTTCGACAACCTTAGCGGTAGTCATCGAACGACAAGGTGCACAATTAAGGTGCAGTTTACAAAATAAACTGTTCCGAGTCACGAACGACAAGGTGGTCCTTGTCACGAATGACAAGGTGCAGTTTACAAAATAAACTGCTCCGACTGCCACGCCGGAAAACTGGCAGGAACTCGGAGAAACTATCAGGAAATCGGGGAAACTGGCAGGAACTTAAACATAAGACTTACTGAGCACAAACGAGCTAATAAGAAACAAGACAAAACTAATCACAATGCTGAACATCACCGAATCACAAAGCACAACATTGACTGGGATTCGGCAAAATGCATCACTTACAGTACTG